GGTACACCCCAAGGTACCTCAGAGCTATAACTTCGTTCAAAGTAATAGAATTCGGGACGGCCTGACATGGTTCGCTGCACTTCAACGAGCTGAGTCGAACTATACCTGGGCGTCCTAGATTCGACAATTTTGAACGAGGTTAAAGCTCTGCGGTACCTCGGCCTGCTCCCAAAAAAGACGATCAAGAAAATATTTAGGAGTCCAAAGTTTTTGCAGTTTTATCAAAAAAATTTTTTTCTAGCGAAATTACCATAAAAATATAAAAAATTATTTTTTTTCAAGAGAGAATGAAAAGAATATCGAATTTAATATTTGAAAAAAAAGTTTATTTTGATTTTCTGTCTACAAAATAATGTCGCCCCTATAATAATTCTCTTTTTTGTTTACTTTTATATTTATAATCCGTTCTCTTTTGTAAAAAAAATTTTTTTATTTGCTGATAAAACTTGCAAACTTTGGATATATTAAAAGGAAAAGACCGATAATAAGAAAAATTAAAGTGGGAAAAAATATTTTGTATAAGAAAAGAAAGATTAGCAAAGAAAAGAATTTCCTTTCACTTTTTTTTTAATTTAAATCCACGTTTTTTATTAATTTACGTAAATTAAAAAGAGAAATTTATTGATTTTGAGTGAAGAAATTTCTTAAAAATCAGTCATCCTTTATTCTTGGTATAGTGGATAGCGGTCTTGACTCCAGCCTGAGAGGGTTCTGGGTTCGAATCCTCTTAGTGTCCCTTTATTTTTAAAACATTTTAAACCCGAAAAGAATCATAAAAATCAACAAAAATTTTCAAAAATTCTTTTTTAAATTCCCAAAAAAACCTACAAAGCGATCCTCCAGTATTTTTGCTACTTTCATCAGCCACTCTAGCAGAAAGTCTCAAAGCCTCACCTTCAAGTTGTTGATGTTGTCTAGCCAAAATTTCATATTGCCTTTGTAATTCTTGGTGTTTTTCATTTTGTGAGTGGGCTAGACGGCAAAGAGATTCGCATTCTTTTTTGTATTTTGTCAATAATTGATCGGTTAACTTAAAAATTGATCGAAATGAGTCTTGACCAGGCCCGTAGCCAGGGGTGTAGGAGGGGCTTCCCACCCGCAGACGAAATGGAGAAAGGGAAAAATTTGGGGAGGGATTGGGCAAAAAAAAGTGATTTTTTGGCCTACGGCCTTCTAAAATTCTCGAAGATTTCGCCTGCGGCACTAAAAGTCAAAATCTTATCCCTTGCCCCCTCCCCCCGAAAAAAATCCTGGGGCCGTTTTACAAAAATTTCTTAAAAATTTCAAAGAAACCTTCAAAGTCCCATCTCTCAAAATTTTCACAGAATTAGCTTTAGCCACACACTTTTTGGCATCTGCAGCATTTAAATGTCCAACAGCAAAATGCAAAAACCCTTCCAACTCGTTTGCTAAAAATTAAAATTTCTCTCAAAGAAAATATTTTTAAAAAATTTTATACAAAATTTAGCAGCCAATTCATTCAATTCTTTATTCATTCCTTCAAAATCTCCAAGTGGATATTCCTTCAATTCAAGTGTTTTACTCAAAAATTTTTCTGTTTCGTTCTCGTCATCTTCTAAAGAAGAAACTCTTTTAATCGCAAAATGTTTGGCATTTTCCAAAGCTTTTAACCATTTTGAACGGTCCAACTAGAAAAAATTAGAAACTTTTAATTAAAAAAAATTTTAAATTTACGTCATTAATTGCTCTCAAATGTAAATTTGGTGAAAATGGAACTGTTATAATCTGTAAAAAATAAAGTTAAAAAATTATTCCAAGAATTCTTTTGATAAATTAGAATCATTTTATTAAGAGGATCAAATTTTTCAAAATTTAAGTCTAACCAATTTGACAAAATCGAATCAAATAAAAAATTTTTGGTACTTGTGGGTTATCCCCCGGACTTTTTTGCGGACTATTTTTGCGGACACAATTGTACAAAATGGTAAGAGTTTCTCTTCCCTCTCTCCTATGCACTTGTCAACCAATCAAACAAGATTAAATGTAGTATATAAAATATAAGTAAATCAAGGGCGTGTTTTTTACAATCAAAGGCGTGTTTTGCCCCAACAGTGGGTTTTTGGTGGGATCTGCCGTGAAACAAATGAATGCTTTAGTGCTAAATGGAGGAATAAAAAGCATCGTGGCACAGCACGTCATCATTTGGAAAGTTATTTTGCCGAGTTTATGTGGAAAAAATGATTGGGGGAAAAGACGTTTTTGAGGAAATCATGATTGCTTGAAAATATTGGTCATTGGAATAATTTTTCTTTTATATATTTTCTTTTTCACATAAAGGCATAATTTTCTTTTAAAATAAATGTACACATCAAATTTAATCCTTAGCGAGGGAAGAGAAACTCTTACCATTTTGTACAATTGTGTCCGCAAAAATAGTCCGCAAAAAAGTCCGGGGGATAACCCACAAGTACCAAATTTTTCAACTCAAATTTTAGTCAAATTATTCGAGGCTTTTTTAATTTTAGTTCTCAAATAAATTTTCAAGGGAGAGGTCATTTTGAAAGTGTTCAATTCAATATTTTCGGAGTTAAAGACGCAAAACCTTTACACTGGCTACGTGCCTCGATCCGAAGAAATTGCTGGATTGAATGAGATAAAAAAGATTATAAAATATCCCATTTATACCATATTAAGTCCATCATGTTGATCACTGCGAACACTAGCCTCTTCCATTTTTATTGATCCACGAGAAGGTCCGTTCACATCACTCGAATTTCTTTAAATTTTTTAGAATAATTTTCAAAAAAATTTCAAAACAAAAAAACCTGTAATATTTCAAATTTCCCATAGAATCAATTAAAAACCAACGTTTTCTATACCCCTTTACATAATTTGTCCATTTATACAGCCAACCAGAAAATTCTATATTTTTATTTGTTGAATTTTTGCCAGTTTTATGTCCATTTCCATTTGATGACGAATCGGCAGAATTTTTAGTTTCAGTCAAATAAAAACTAGAACCTCTTTTTGGCATTCTTTTAAAAAAAAATTTATTTTTAGAAACAAAAAAAATTGAAAAACATATGATTAAGAGAAAATACCACGTAGGTAAACTTAAAAATTAACCAATTTGGCATTCATTTATTATTTTGGCATAATGTTTTTTGAGTTAAATTTTATTCTAAATAGAGATCGGAATTTTGAAAAAACCGGGACCGGGAACCGGGAAACGGGTTCTGAAGGTCGACCGGGAGGGACCCGGACCGGGAAAACCGGGAATTCCCGTTCCCGGTTTCATCCCGGTCAAAAATGACCGGGACCCGGACCGGGAAATTTTAAAAAATTTTGAAATGCATTTAAAAATTTTAAAAAGTTATGGGAGTAGTTATTTATTGAAAAATCTGATTTATAAATAGAAGAATTTAATAAATCAGTAAAATAAATCAATAAAACAAATGTAAATTACAATAAAGTAAAACATAAAGCGGATTACGTAGGGCTAAAGGGATTTGAGAGGCTAGAGAATAATTGTGGGATATTAGGAGATTTTGGAGTTTAAGATCTCTCGATAGCCTCCTCAAATTTTTTTATATAGCCTATATGTATTCCTCATCTAATTCCCTTTAATCCCTCCTAATCCACATTGATGCTGATTTAATTTTAGTTTAATCCCTCAAAATCCACTCTGAACTTCTCTGTGCAATAGTGATATCAGGGATTAAAAGAGATATCAAGAGATGTTGGGATCATTAAGAGAGATTATGTAGAAAGACCTCCAACCACCTATATCACCTGATATCTATTCAAATCCCTTTAATTGGAAGGCAATGATATCATATGATTAAATCATATGATTAAGGCAGATCTAATGGATTTAGAGGGATAAAGATGGCTTGATCACCAGGTCCCTTGATAAAATACACTAATTTCCCTCAACTTTTCCTCCAATAATACCTCCAAATTTCTTTGTTCCAAATTCTTCCGCGAAAATTTTGAGAATTTTGGAAGGCCAAACAGCCAAATTTCTTCCGTTTTCAGCGCCGCAGGCGAAAATTTTGAGAATTTTTGTAAAATCTCCAATATTTTTAAGTCAAAAATCAAAACGCCAAGCAAAAATATTTAAAATTAGCTGCTAGAATTTTTCCCGGTTTCCCGGTCCAAAAAAAGCCGGGATCGGGAACGGGAAACGGGAAATGAAAATTAACCGGCCGGGACCCGGACCGGGAAAACCGGGAATTCCCGATCCCGGTTTCATCCCGGCATCTTCAAAAAAGCCGGGAAAAAGGACCGGGAAACCGGGAAACGGGACCGGGTCCCGATCCCGTTCCGATCTCTAATTCTAAATTTACAGGAAATAAACGAAGATTATTTTTTAGAAAAACAAAGAACAATTGGAATTATTCTAATCATCTGGAATTAGCTAATCACAATAGCAAGAGTGATCAAACCCTAACTTGGAAATTAAAAACTTATTAAATTTGGTAAAATTAATCATACCAGTCCCAGTTCTGCCCACAATACCAATCCGTTCCCTTGCTTGTAAATTCAACGGCGCAAAGCATAACTTGCTGGAAAATGTCCTATCCCTGATGAATTTTGACGCCAATCTCTTTAGCTCGATGAGAAGAAGGGTTTATTCACAAGAAAGGCACAGCAATGCTGACATCGGAGAGAAGAAAAGCTGATTTTTGAATCAAAACAACGTTCTTTGTTGTGATGAATGCCTTACTCCAATTTTTCGGGACCTAACGCAGTCGAGAATCAATTTAAAGGTAGTGGTACTATTCGACTTATATTGTCGAGATGACACAACTTTTACTGACAGAACTCTGCCACTACCTCAGAGAATGAGGCAAAACGAGAAAAATTCTTAAAACACCACAAAACCGAAAAATTAATTTTACCAATTACTTAATTTTAATTTAAAAATTACTTAAAGGATTATTGAATTATTTTATTTTTCATCGTTCATCCTCGTTCTTTTTGAAGACTGCTCCAAATTTAAATCGAAGTAGTTAGGTATTCTGTTGAAATTATAGTTATTTGCAATTATTTAGAGAAAAAAGTACCCGAATTAATCCATCAGCCCTCGCTATAGCCTGATCATGTAAACGCTGCATAGCGTAGAGTAATCGAGCCTTGCAGTTCATTAATTTCTCCTGCTCCGCCAGAACAAACTGCTTCATCTGTCCGCTAGTTCCGACTAAAGCCTTTTTGTTGCATTTGATATGTTCGTTTATATTAATAATCTCCTCAGCAAGTTGGTCAATTTGTGTGGCCAAGGTCTAAAATAAGAATTTAGAAATCAATTTTCGAAAAAAGTTTAAATAAGTTTTCCAGACTAGCGAATTTGGAATAAATATTCAAAAATAAAAAAATCAAAGAATATTGAGGTTCAGTCAACTTTCAAAAATTTTCGGTGAAAATTTTAATTAGACGTACCAAACTGTTGTATGAAGGCTGTAAGTATGAATCCAGAAAAATCGAATTACTAAAAAATAAAAGTATTATACATTAAAAATAATTTTAAATTGACAGGAAAAGGGAGGAGAACAGAATTTTTAGATGAAAAAAAATTGAAAAATAAAAACAAAAATGAACATTTTTAATAAAGGCTATTTATTTGAATAAGTTAAGGAAAAATGACCATAAGAGTAATTGATTATCTACAAAAAAAAGTTTTTGAAACAAATTTTCCAAAAATTCTAAAAAATTTTTCAGAAATTTTTTTTGAACAAAAATTCCAAAATTTTGAAAATCTTGACCAATTTTTGGCAAAATTTACAAAAAAAAAAGAAATATGGACTAAAATATGCAAATATATGCACTAAAAGTCAATCCAATGAGTCCTAAAGTGCTCGGACCAATGTGAAAATACCACTTTTGTACTTTTCTCATCATGGCATACATATCAGGATGCAAAACATGCATTTGCATGTTTTCCCCGCCCTATTGAATACATTTTATATTTTTTACCCACATATTTAAATTTTTGGAGTCAAAAGTAAAGGTCATTTGATTTAATACGAAACCAAACAAGCCATTTTCTTGAATAAAATTTTGAAGTTCATCAATCACATGCGGCTAAACAAAAAAGGTTTTTGGAGATTTAAAAACAAAGGAATTTTGTCAAAACTCACCTCCGTTTTAATTGTTTTTAAATTTTCCACAATTTTATTTATGGACAAATCATCAATACTTAAAATTTTTAATTGATTTGTTAATTCGTCCAATTGATTTGTATTTAAAATTAAAGAAGTTTTGGGGGGTTTTATGTCGTTAGACAAAGAATGATTTGCTGCATCCATTTTTAGATCCAAAAATTGGTGTTTTTTAAGACAAGTCAAAAAATTGTCCTTTTTTAAAAATTAATTTAAAAAAATTAAAGTTAATTTATGATATATTTTTCGGTTAGTTTCAACCATTTAAAATAAAAAATTTGAAATGATTGTACAAAAATATAAAAATTAACAAAAAAAAATTAATTAAAAATTAAATTGAAAATCTTCCATTTAAAGACAATCCATAAGAGCTAATTTAACAAGAGAAAGCACAATTTTTTTTAATTTGAAATTAAAAAATATCCGATATAATTGGGTATAAATGATGTTAATTTTCAATTTTCTTACTTATATATACTGGGTAATCTTTGAATTTTTTGAATAAAGTTTAATTCTTTTAAACCTATTTATTATGCCAGACTTAAAGTAAAGGAAAAAAGAAATCTGTGTTGGGAAAGTTTTCCTGGGTCTGGTCTTTTTAAAAAAAGGAGAAGAAAGAGTGTGTAAACCAAACTATGTATAATGGGTGTGCCGCTTCGTCTTTCGCTTTTTAAAATTGGGAGGGAAATGATCCAATTCTTTATGTTTATGTACCAATTCTCTTCTTTCATCCTCAACTCTTCTCGATTCCAATTCAATTTCTGATAAACGAGAACGAAGCCTTTCACGTTCATTTTCACTATATTCCACTTTTTTCTCTTTTTCTTCAATCATTTGTAATAATTTGGAACATTGTTGAGTAAGTCCATGTCTATCCAATTCTCTTTGTTCAGAATCACGTTCTTTTTCAACAATTTCTTGTCGTAGACGATCCAATTCTTTTTGTAAATTTTCTTTTTCTTCTTTTTCAATTTTTAAAGAAAATCTGAAAAAAACATATTATAAGGTCAGTAATTTTTCTTGGAAAATAATGAGAAAATGAAGAAGGACTAGATTAAAAATTGGTAATTTCTAATTTAGATTATTCAAGTAAAATTGATTTTTATTTTTTAAAATTCTGTTACAGACCCCGAAAAAAGGATAAAAAATAAAACAATACAATCCCCAAATTTCAATCCAAAAATAATTTCCAAAATTATTTTCTTTGGGTAATTAAAGAAAGCAATTAATAAATAAATTACAAACTTTAATTGTCCTCTTTCAGTCTCCAAAGAACGAAGCTTCCCTTTAAGTTTTGCCATTTCCAAAATATCAACTAATTTTGTAGCATTTTTATCTTCACTTTCTTTCTTCTTTCCCTTAACATTCTCTTCCCCAACAATCTCTTCCGAAATTTGTTCCTCTTTAGTTAAAGACTTCTTTTGTTTTGGCGGACTTTTCTCTCCAACTTTAGGTTCTGAATCATTTCCAGCAATTTCAATTCCATCTCCAAGGTCTGACCAACCAGCACTACCACCTGAACCTGCTCCATTATCTAAAATTGAAATTTAAAATTTTGAAAACAAAAATCCTAGAAAAAGGACAGGAAAATTAAAAAAAGGAGCAAGAATTTTATATTAACAAGCCTCTTTCCCGGAAGGGAATAACTATGGGTAATACTAGTCCAGTTACCGGGCTCTTTTTTTCTCCCCAAGTTCTTTCCTATATGGTCAGACAGAATGGTCAGACTTTTTCTATTCTTCCTTCCCAATGCCTTTTATATTTTGCTACAAACAAAAAGGATTAATTTTTGGTATTTAAACATGGGTAGTAAGAAGAATCATTTTCTGTAAAAAAACTGAAAAATTTCAAGTCTTTTGATTGACTATTGGGAGGGAAAAGACTATGCGAATAATCTTTAAAAATTTAATATGAATATATTTCGTTCCCAATCTTAAATTTTGAAATTTGGTAGTGGCTCACAGTAAAGTGGTGATAATAAAAATATTAAAATAAGCAAATCGGAGAGGGACAGAAAAATGGGATTCCTTTCTAGTTTAATCCTTGGCAACTCAAAAACAGAAAATTAAGCTCTGATTAATTAGAATTGACAAATAAAGTCATAAAATTCCCTCCAAAAAATCATTTAAAAATATACCAAATCTCCAAATTCAATCATTTGTTCAGGCGGAAAATCAGGGCTAACAAAATCATTAGAACCTCTATTAATATTTTTCTTGTTAAATTTCTTTTCTTCCTTTTCAATATTTTTGTTATTAAATTCAGCAATAATTTCCAACAATTCATCGACTTCTGCCTTCTTTTCTGTATATTCATTTTGCCATTTTTGTAATTCTTTTGAAGAATTTTCCAATTCAATTTTTAATTTATCTATTTTTGTTAACGCTTCTTTCAAATCTTCATCCAAATATTTTTCTCTATTTTGAGTTTGGGATAATTTAGAAAGTGTTTGGTCAAGTTCTGCTTCGATTCGTTTTGACGTTCTGATTCGGTGCTCTTTAAAATTATTATGACAAATTTATTTAAAAATTTTTTAAAGAAATTGGTTAACGAAAATGAAGGTTATAGAAATTAATTTAGAGGTGGGGGCAAAAAATCAAATAATCTTATTCTAGAATAAATTTTTAATTATTTTTTATCCTCCCCTGCACTTTAGTTTTACGAATTGGAGTTTTTAAAAATCATATTAATAAAAAATTAAAAAACCTTAAGCAAAGCCTCCTTGTTGTCCAAACTCTTCTTAAGCTCGCCAACATAATTTTTGCTTTGCTCCAATTCATGGTAAATCTACGGCCAGTTTTCATAAATAAATTAATCTTTAGAAAATGAAATCTAGAAATATATTAATTAAACAACAGGTGACATTTTGTCCCAAAAAATTTATTTTTCCCCCAATTTTTTAAACTTCAAATATTTACTTGTTCAGTTAAAGACCTCCAACCCAAATCTGCCCTTCTGTCAAATTCAAAAGTTTCCCCCAACAAAGGATTAAAAGGTTTTGTTGTTCTTTTAGCTGTAGCTGAATAAACACTAATTGCAAATGCTGCTGTATATGCAAGTCTTTCTGATATATCCAACTTTTCTGAAGCTCTATCCAACAAATAAGAATATTCCAAATCTTCGGTTATTCTCTGCATTTGTTTTTAAAAATTTTAAAAGTGAAGTTTTTAAATGTAGGGAATTTTTTATTTTTAGAAAAGCTCTGGTCTATTTCTTTTAAAATTTTCAAAAATTTTCAGAAAGAATTTAAACAAAAAAACCTGTGATATTTTAAATTTCTCATGGAATCAATTAAAAATTTGTCCATTTATACAGCCAACCAGAAAATTCAATATTTTGATTTTTATTTGTAGAATTTTTGCCAGTTTTATGAAGGGTACAGCCCGACTTGTCGCGACCGACTTGCCGCCGGCCGACTTGCCGCGGCCGACTTGTCGCGACCGACTTGCCGCCGGCCGACTTGTCGCCGGCCGACTTGCCGCCAAGCTTTTTAATTAAATATTCTATAATACTATCTGATTAATAGTATTTTAATCAGATCAGCTCGATTGAATGATTTTGATCAAAGTTATGACCAACAGAATCTTCGCTGGAAAAACTGTTTTTGTGCTGCTACGGAGGGTAGGCCGGGCATGGTCTTCGCTACACGATGGCCGTGCTTCGCTGCGGTCGTGCTCGCTTCGCTCGCGGCGACCGTAGCGAAGCGGCGGCCGTCGTTCCGCTCGACATGCCCGGCTTCCTCCGCAGCGGCAAAAACTTTTTTCCGCGTAGACCTTGTGGAAGGGTGTTAATTAAAAAGCTTGGCGGCAAGTCGGCCGGCGACAAGTCGGCCTCGCGGCAAGTCGGCCGGCGGCAAGTCGGTCGCGACAAGTCGGCCGCGGCAAGTCGGCCCGCGGCAAGTCGGGCGTGTCCCTTTTATGAACCATCCTTTAAAGATTTATTGATTTGGCGCGGAACGTCCCACTTGTGTACCGGCCGTTTGTGTACCTGGCCATATTTTGGGCCATAACTTTTTTGATTCTTAACCAACTTAAATTATTATTATATCAATCGAAAGCCCTGGATGTGAGGATTATTTTCGCCAACAGGATTGATTTGATCAGATCATGTTATAAAAAGTTATATCTCGATAAATGCGCTCAATCGTGATTTTGATCTTTATCTGTCTGTAACTTTTTGTATGATGATCTGATCAAATCAATCCTGTTGGCGAAAATAATCCTCACATCCAGGGCTTTCAATTGATATATTATTTATTTAAATCAATTAAGAATAGATAAAGTTATGGCCCAAAATATGGCCAGGTACACAAACGGCCGGTACACAATGATCCCCCGCCCGATTTGGCGTTTTTATAATTTTGGCATAATGTTTTTTGTGTAAAATTTTAGTTTAAATTTAGAGTAGAGCGACGCTGTTTAATTAATTTTTTGTCCACTCTTTTGTTTTTTATCTTTTGTTAATTGTTTGCCATTATTCCCACCAACTCGTTCTTGTCTAATTCTTGACTGATTTAAACTTTTATCCAACCTCTACCTAATTATTTTCAATAAAGTTGTTTAATTAATTAAAATTTTATTTTTACTAGATTTAACATATATTAATTACTAGCAATTAAACAACTAATCCATTACACAACCAACACAATTACTCATAAAAAAATAATTTTAAAACTCTGAAAAATGACAAGCCGAACGCCGGATTGGAAAGGAGGGGCTAATGTTCTCTCGGCTGTTCACAAAATCAGTACAACACCTTCGCGTAATCCAAACTATATAAAAGGAAAAGTAAATGAAGGGGATCGTTATGTTTGTCTTAGAAGTGAAGAACAATTGGAATTGGCTACTCATCTTTTAACGTCCAAATTATTGGTTTTTTAATTTTAAATTGATTTTAGTGTAATTGTTAAGGGGGTGTTTCCCCCTTTTTTCTTATTTTCCAGAATTACCTTTTTGCCTTTGGAATTAAGGTTGGCAGATAGTTGGAAATTTTCGGACATTCGGATCCGAACCAAAGATTTCCGGATATCCGCTTTTTCGCATCCGGATCCGTTAACCTTATTTGGAATATCATCAATCTAAAAGGTTTAAATTTTTTGCATAAAATATGCGAAACCGAAATATTCGAAAACTGTCATTAAAGGTAACAGATTTTCGTGTTTTTTTAGTTTTTGGATCTTAGAAAATCCAAAAATCATTTTTAATTGATGCTATGCCGACGGTCGGAGGGAATTTTGTGAATTTAAATTTTTAAAAGAAAGAGTTTTGTAAAATTGAGGAAGGAAGTCTGACCATTATGTACATTCTTAAGAAAAAAAGGGAAACACAAATTTACTATTACCTTGAATTTTTCATAAATTCTCTTTAAAGGATGATGAAAATGCAACGTGTTTGGATACGTCAATGTCTTGCCCGACCAGCCCGGCTACAAAATTGGAACAACAAGCAAAAAGGCAAATGATGAGAGTTAAATCAGACAATAATTTAAATAATGGAATTGAGGGAGATAGAGTTTGTGCCTTTAGGTTTTCTTTGAAATTTTTGTTTTGTTTTTCTAGTTTTTTGTATTTAGAAAAGGTCTTGCTCCGATTGCTCGATTCGGTAATTTTTTATAATTAAAAAGCTTTTTATAGGTTTTTTTGGAATCTTATAGTATGTTACTGCAAAATTTAATATTAATTTAATCGGTGTCATTCCTCGATCTACCTATCCACATTGCGTTTCATTATTAAAAATAATGAAAATACACAGAGATCTTAATACCAGGCCCGTAGCCAGGGGGGGGTGAGGGGGGGAATTCCCCCCCCCCCCGAAATGGGAAAAAGGAAAAAATTTGGGGAAGGGCTGGGGCAAAAAAAGTGAATTTTTTTGGCCTACGGCCTCTGAAATTTAAAAAATTTTCGCCTGCGGCGCTAAAAAGGAAGAAATCTGGCTTCTTGAGGTCCAAAATTCAAAAAATTTTCGCCTGCGGCGCTGAAAATAAAAATTTTTCGCGCCTGCGTCGCCAAAAATTTAGCGCAGAAAAAATTTTCCCCCCTTGGCCCCCCCCCCCCCGAAAAAAAATTCTGGCTACGGGCCTGCTTAATACTATGGATTGGTAGGGTGACCCCAGACTTTTTTTGACCCGAAACTTCAAAAATCTAAACTCGACCTTTTTCCCAAACCAACCAGTCCCTGCTCCAGACAGGATTTTAAGGTTTATCATCATAAACTCCAATCCAAGAGATTACACTTTCTCATCAATTTTATTTTAAAATTTAATTTTTAGGTCATCGTGCCCAACAAACAAATGTTCTCTTTCATTGTATACAACCATCATCAACTTGTATAAAACGTTCAAGACGTTATATAGTTAAAGAACCTGAAAGAATGTTGGATGCTCCGAGTTTATTGGACGATTTTTGTTTGAACAATTTTTTAAAATTATTTTTTTATTTTTTAGATACAAATTTAATTGATTGGAGTAAAGCAAATGTTGTGGCTGTCACTTTGGGGAATAAAATTTTCCAGTGGAATGCGGCAACTGGGGCGGTGGATGAATTGAAAGATTTTGAAAATTTGGAGGCTAATCCAACAGTTGCAAAATGGTCGAAAGAAGGGCAGTATATTGCTATTGGATTTTCTGATGGGACTTTAAAGGTTTTTAAATATTTTAAATTTTCGAGAAATTAATTAGTGGGGTTTTTATTTTTTAATTTTAATTACCCGGATTTGTTCGAGCGAGTCAAGTTAGCTCATTGTGAGTTTATATCCTGGGTTTCGGGGTTAAATGGCCGGGTTCAATAGCCCAGAAAAAATAGAAAACGGTGTTATTTGCCTCCATACTCTTAGATAAGAGTTAAAAACCGCAACAAGAATCATATTATCGGAATCCGTTGATTTTTCTTCCTGTCAAAGCATTTAAAAATGTTAGAAGTTCCCCCCCCCCCCCCCCCCCCCCCCCCATGCCTTTAGATATTTTTGTTAACATAAGGATTAATTTTCCCCTTAATTCATTAAAATAAAATTTAGCAATAAACGAGGCTTTTAAATTTTAAGTTGATCGATTCAATCAGTAAAAATGTTCTTCGAACAATAAGAACTGAAAGAATGCGTTTAGCTTGTGCTTGTTGGACAGGAAAAGGAGAACTTAGTTGTGGCTCTAGAAATGGAAAAATTTATCATCACGATGTTAGAATGCCTAAATCTTTGATTAGGTTTGTTTTTAATTTTTTAAATTAAGTTTTTTCAAAAATTATTTGTCTGTACTTATTTTGAAATTTAACATAAAAGGGGTTGATTTAAATCGAAATTTATTCCGTAATCAAAAAAAGGCTATATTAGGTTGTTCGGGGGTGTCTTCTGTTTTCAAACTTCTGTTTTCATCGAAAGGGTTCGAATCCTTTTTAAATAAAAATTAATTTTATTTTTCTGGTTTTAACATGTTAAAAGAACTTTTTTTGACTAAAACTTAAAATATTTGTTGAAAAATCTTAATTTAAGTTTAAATTTAAAAAATACTTTTTTTCTAGCGTTTTCTCTTCTCACTCCAGCGAAGTTTGTGGTCTTAAATGGAGTCCAGACGAACACTTTCTTACAAGTGGGGGTTCTGATTGTTTAGTACATGTTTGGGAGAAGACACAATTATCTAATTTTAATGCGGTATCTTAATTTTTATTTAAGAAAAAAATTTCTTTTTTAGCCTCCACTTTACCGATTTGATGATCACATTGCAGCGGTTAAAGCTATTGAATATGTTTGTTGACAAAATAAATTTTTTTCGACAAATTTTTCAATTTTTAGGTGCCTCAAATAGGCCTAGGCCCTTCCAATTTGGTAGCCACTGGTGGAGGAACGCGTGACCACACAATTCGTTTCTGGGATCTTAATGATGGCTCGCCTTATTTTACGTTGGATACACAAAGCCAGGTTTCTCTTATTCTTTTTCATTTCTTAAACTCTGTTTAAGATAACCGGAATTCTTTTCAATAAACTTCATTCTGAAATGATTACTGGCCATGGAGCCCCAAAAGCTGGCGTTCGTGTTTGGCATCATGAACCAAATAAAATTAAAAAATTTGAGCCTACGGCTGAATTAAATAATGGTCAAGGAGGGAGGGCTTTAAGTCTTTGTCAAAGCCCCTGTGGAGAATATGTTATGACTGCAAGTCAGGTATACTAATTTTAAAGAATTTATTTTTAATGAGACAGGCTCTTTTCTGTTTTGATTGTCTGCAGATTCAGTATTTGTCCACAAAACGTAGAATCTGTGGAATAATTAAAACAGAAAGGGGTAATATAACATAAATGCTCTAATATAAACCCACTCAAGGAGGCCTATCGAAAAATATAAGCCCAGTCTAATAGAAGCCCACTAATGACCAATTGAAAAATATAAGCCCAGGGTTTATATTAGAGCATTTACGGTATGTCCCTTTTCTTACTTTGTTTCTTGTTTTATTTTCTAAAAAATTGTCAAGTGTTTTGATGGTATAAGAAAGATTCTACTAATATTCGAAATTGAGCTGATAAACCAAATTCTCGGTTCAGTTCTTAACAACCCTATATTTTGACAATTTTTAGAAAGGGAGTGAAGTAGAAATAGGAGGAAAATAAAAATTCGGGTTCGATAATGCAATAGAACCCGGGAAATTATTGTTCCATTCTCTTAAATTAAAAAAAATTTTTCCTTATTAAAAAAGGACGAAGTTCTTCGTATTTGGCATGTCTGGAAAGTAGATGAATCTATGCGTAAACAATCACAAGAAAATGTAACAGCAAATGCTCGTAAACAACTTCAATATGCTTTGAATGGGCACATTGGTGTTGCAAGTAATGGAAGAATTATTCGTTAAAAATTTAAATTATTTTTTTTTGTAAAATTATTTATTTTTTGGTTTTTCATTTTAACCCTTTTATTTATTTTTTCTTTTTCTTTCTTTTTTTTGATTTATTTAACTTCACTTTTATTTACAAAACAAATTTAAAAAATTTTTTTGAGTAAAATAGTATTATTTAAAAAATATTTTTGTAAATTTTTTTTTTGAAAATTTAAAGGTTCTTTTAAGGAATTTAAATGAAAGAGAGGGGGGAGTTTTCAAGAAAAATATTTAAAAAATAAACAAATAATCTCTTATCAAACAACTATAAAATTTAATTTTTTTTTCTTTAGGAATACTTTTCATTGATTAATTCCTTTTTTTATCAAGAAAAAAAATTTAAAATAAATATTAAAATAAATTGCAAAAAAATCATTGTGATTTAAAAATCCTTTTTGTTTCTATTTAACTCTTAATTTCAAATAAAATTCTCAAGCAAAACTGCCTTTGTTGACCCTCCTCAAAAGAGAAACAATTAAAAAAAACTTTTCTCTTTCCTTGTACTATTTAATTAGGGAATATTTAAGAATAAGGTTGTCGGATAGTTGGAAATCTTCGGAGATCCGGATCCGAAAACCTTATTTAAGAAGTGATTTTCTAATTAACTTAATTTTAACTCAATTTAATTTCAATTAAAGAAGAAAAATGGATAATAAATTAAGACAATTAATTTCAAAAGTAAAAAAAGAATATGATGACGATTCTGTAGATAGATGCATATATGCTACCACTGTTTATATTGTTGGATTCTTTGCGGTAATTTTTGTTGAGGGGAATTAAAAGAATTTTCTTCTAAAAATTGCCCAGAATTTGAATTTTCCCCCCAAAATCTTATAAACTTTAAAAAATTTAAAGAAAAAATTTCTTCAAGGTTCTAATAATGGCAAAACAATATGTTGGTGACCCCCTACAATGTTGGTTACCCGCAGAATATACTGTTTCTTTTAAATTTTTAAATAAAATTTTTGTATTTTCTATGAAAGGGAGCTTGGGAATCTTATATAGAAAATTATTGTTTTGTGGAAAATACTTATTATATTGCACAGAATCAGAGCAGCAAATTGTGAGAATTGTTTTTATTTAATTATCAAATTATTCTTAAGTGGGCATTCTTAAAAATTTAAAGAAACTGGACATTTTGAAATTTTGACATTTTGAAAATTTTACCCTATTGGACATTTTTAGATTTTCACGTTAGTGGGCGTTTTGTACTTTGCGTTAAAATAAATTTTTAAATTAAAAAACAGTTAATTGGTCAAATAAAAACAATTATTTGTCAGGCTCTCACCAGAGAACAGACAAGCTCGTCGCAAATACGAACTTCGTTACTACCAATGGATCCCTTACATTCTAGCATTGCAAGCATTGCTGTGTTTTGCTCCAAAAATGATTTTTAAAATTTTGTGTTCTTTTAGTGGTTAATTAATGTATAAATTAAAAAATAATTTTTTTTCTATTAGAATTAAAAATTAACGATTTGGCTAAAATAGCCTATAAAGAAACTAAAAAAAGTTTGGAATATAAGAATAAATCTAAAAGAATTGCTGGACATTTAATTGCCCATACAAATGCTAGAGGTTAGAGAAAAGTCTCTTCTATTTTAATTATCTCTCTCTCTTTAGCCCAATCTTCCAATTATTATTTAACTGCAATTTATTTGTTAATGAAAATTTTAATGTTTTTATCAATTTTAATTCAATTAATTTTAATTAATTTATTTTTGGGAACGTGGGATTTATTTTGGGGATTTAATATTTTATGGCAAATTGTTGTTGATGGGGTTTGATTTATTTTTTAAAATTAAAAATAAATTAATTTTTAAATAGGTCGACTGGAGAAATAATGGATTCTTTCCTAGGGTATATTTTTTGATTTATTTAAATTTAGATATTTTTAAAAAAATTTCTGAGGGAAAAATTTCTGAATTAAGGAAATAACTCGCTTCTCTCCTTTCCTTATGCTTTAATCACTCCCCTACGGACTGAAACTTTGAATGACCATAACTCGGCCCTAATTGATTTTGCAAGAAAACGGACATCACTTCACAATAGTAAGTCCATGGTCCTCTATCGATTGATACCAGAAAATATACCAAATTCGCAGTTACAGTAAACTATGTTCCCTTACTGACACATTTTAAGAAATAATAAACTCAAAATTCTTAATAATTTTCAGGTTACTTTCTGTGATTTACAAACTCGAGATATTGGCCAATACAGGGAACACACAGTTCAATGTGTTCTTATGATTAATATGTAAATATATTTTTCTATTAAAAAATTCCCCAAAAAATCCCTTTTAAAGGTTCGCCGAAAAGATTTTTATATTTTTATGGCTCTGGTTTTTCCTTTTACTTTTTATTTTACCCTTAAATATTTCTTTGTGGATATACAGAATATTTTCTATGAAAAGTAATGAAGAAATGATTGTTGATGCACTCAAGGCAATTTTTAGAAAAAAATTTTTTTTAATCCTTCCCATTTTCCCTCCCTTCCAGTTACACGATCATTTCCCAACAATTCAAGACGTCAGAAAATTTATTAGAGAATTTTTAAAAATTGATGATATTGTTATTTTGAGAATGATTAATTCAAATGTTGGATATATACAAACTTCTGATATTTTACATCAATTATGGCTTAATTACAATTCTATTGAAGATATTAGTGAAAAACAAGACGAATAAAACATTTAAATATTTATTTTTACTTTAATATTTTTAGCAAAAAAAATTTTTTTAAAAGAAAAAAAAATTAAATAAATTTAAAGAGAAGTAATATATTACAGTTGAACCTCATTATAAAGATAAACCCTTGAAGCTGAAAAAAATTGTATCTTATAGGGGGGACCCTCACCATAGCTCAATAGACAAGCAATTAAAAAAAGCATCTTAATAAATTAAAGTGAAATTAGAAAGGTGTATCTAAACATATGAAGTTCAACATTAAGAGTCAATTAATATAACCGATAAGTCGAAATTTAATTTAAAATAACTTTACACATTTTCCTTTAAAACTCATCACTCTATTTATTTAATATTCTTTTAACAAAAATACATACTCGGCTTCAATCCCTGTTCAACTATAACAGCCTCTGAAGGTTGCTGTAAAATTTTATCACCAGATTGCAGTTTATCTTTAGGTAAAGGCTGCCCATTTTTGCTTAAAAATTATGTAAAAAATTTTTTTCCCAAAAAAATCAAAAAATTTACCCAACAGGCAATTCATCATCCGCAGCAGCATAGTGATGTCTAGCTCTAAAGCACGCCAAATGAGCATAATAAACAGGCGCAGGAATGGATACAGGCATTGGGGCACGTGCAAATAAATAACACAAATTGTTTGAACAAGTCTCCAATTCATCCGCAGTAAAATTGTTTTCATCCATTAAAATAAAATAATGTGAAGGACGAGATGTTCCCTTAAAAAAATAAAATTTATAGAAGAATTTGGGGAGTGTTTTCGTGGGAAAGTTTATCTGAAAATCCCCTAATCATCCAACTTTTCACCAAAAAATTCTCTCTTAAAATCAAAAAAAATTTCCATACCAGCATTCCCTTTTGTGAACACAAATAAAATTCTTTTGAATAACTTGTGATATGTCCATCAATTACTGTTCCAGGCTGAAGATTTCCTTTGCTATAAAATTCAAATTAAAAAAAATTATTTTAAAATTTAAATACTTCTTCTCATCACTATCATTTTTATCAAAAAATCGTGTATTATGTCGCTTCTGTACAACAACAACTGTAAGTCTCGGTTTTTGTACTCCTTCAAAATATTTGTCAATGGCCTTTCGAATTGATGAAACTTCAAATTCCATAACTCCTTCAAATTGAGATTCAGACACTCCATCACGAAATACAATTATTTTAGAAGGGCGTAATTCAGCTCCGTGGAAAAGTTTTGAACCCTAAAATTAATTTTTGTCTTAAAAAGAAAATTTTTAAACCTTCTGAAAATGTACAAGTCGTTCATAAAACATTTCACCCATATCTTCAATCCATTCAGTTCGGTGATGTTGTGCACGAACAGTTGCGGTAAAACTTAATAATAGGTGTAAAATAATTTTAAAAAATTGAAATAACATTCGAGAATAAGGAGAGAAGGTATGAACCTTAACCAGAGAGAGTTCCAGCTCTTTCAAACCCCCAAAAATTAAAAAATCAAAAAAAACTAATTACCGAGTAGCATTCAAATCAATATTTCCAACCAAAGCAGAAATTGAAGGAGAAAGTGTATCACCAGGCGCCGGATGAGTTACATCAATTCCAATAAAAAGTGTTGGTGCTTCTTTTTTGACAAAAGTCACCCATTTTCTTAAAAATAAATTTATTAATTAAAAAAATATTTTTTAAAAAAATACTCTGTAGCATTCGCATCAATTTTGCAATTAACTCCTCCACATTTTGCATTAATTTTCAAAAAAATATTTCTAGCAACAGCACTAGACATTGGACCGCCTCTCCCAGCTTCATTTTGAAGTTTGTTCCAAGTTTTTTGAGAAATCATTTGAGAGCGCATTCCAAAACGAAGTTCACAAATTCCTTTGAAAGATTCTGAAAAAAGAAAAATATTTAATGGATTGACAAATATGTATTGAAATCAAAAATTCAAAGATAAGCTTTAAATTCCTTTTACTTAATCCGGGGCATTATCAATAAAATTTCATTTTAAGCTCGCGAGTACCTTATGTTAACACTATTAACCTAACTTTAGAAAAATTAACATAGGACCGAAACTAAAAAATAATTTTAAAAGTAAATAAAACAAACGATAGATCCAACGATTATCCGGCATCGCAACAATAATAATTGGCATAACACCTTGACCCCAATTTGTTGCTGCTTGTTTACGAGAACCGATTAAATTAGCAAGTTGATCCTTATGGCGTGTGTCAAACTCGGTAACTCCTGCAGGGTCTGGATGCACAGTAATTCCTCTATGTGAACATGACTGAACTAATGCCTCCCATGCTGCACTAAAAATTATTAAACGTTAAACACATTCAATCTTGAAAATTAAATTTTATTAAAAACCCAAGTGGGATCAAATGTCACTTCTTATAATATTAATTTTTTGAACAATAAAAACAAACCGATATCTATCAAATGAAATACATCTATCAACAATAACCAAATCAAAAATAATATTAACTGGCCTTCCAAATAAATTAGGCTTTTCCACAGCCTTGATTCCCATGATATCACGAAATGATTTCTTAAAGATAAAATAAAATTTACAAAATTTTCAAAATTAACCGAAAATTCGCATCTTGGAGGGTTTAAAACACGAGCACCAATTTCAAGAAATTCTGTATTTATAGCAACCTCAAATGCTCTCATAACTGGGTTTTGATCAAAATTACATTCAACACGAGCCATTTGATCAATATCAGAAAAACGTTGACGAGGAGGTGTTGAAGTATACTTTAAAAAGTTTAAAAATATTTACAAAAAAAAACAGAAAAAAAGAACCTGATTTGTCATAGCTTGCAATGCATCAGGCAATTTTCGACGTAAACGTTGTAATTTATCCGAAACTTTGAGAACCTCAATTGGCAAAACCAAATTTCTTTCTCTCGGCATAATTTTAATAAGAGGCATTGAACGAAATTTAACTTGGTAGTTGTATTTAGCAGCATAATATTCAGTCACAGAAACAGTTCTTCCAAGTTCTTCACATTCAAATTTGTAAGCATCTGGCGATTTGTCGACAACGTCACAGAAAGAAGCTTCACTTTCAACAAAATTTTCAGCAATGCGCTTCTTTTTCATTTTAAGTCCTGAAATAAGATTGATGAAAATTTCATTAGAATCCAGTTTTAGATTTAAAATGATATACAAATAAAGACTTTTCTCCCTAATTCTAAAAAAAAGAAATGGAACCAAGATAACCAATACGTTAGTATAGTGTTGACTTCAACCGAAAAGAAAAACGCCAGATTTCCGGTTCTCAAGATCTACAACTCGCCTACAAGTAGGAACTGATACATGACTGTATAATCCAAAAACCAAACTCAAGAATTAACAAAAGTCAAAAACTAACCACTTAAAAGAGTTCTCAATTCATTTCGCTGTGATTGATTCATTCCATAATCATTAAGTCGCTCAATTTCACTTGCATTCATGAACCTTCCTGTCTTTGCAAAAGCATAGAATTGAAGAATATCACATCCAACTTTGTAGAAGGCAGAATGGGCAACTAAAAAATGACGAAAGAGATTATTCATTAGTTTGTCATTAAAAAACAAACCATCAAAATTAACAAAACCATTCCCAACATTTCCCTTTGGCGGAGCTAACCCCCTCTTTGCAAAAGCATATAATCCACGAAGCATTTCAAATCCGCCCAGATCCAAAGGTTCATGATACAAATTTGGTGGTTTAATGTAGAGACGACTAACTTCACAATGAATAGTTCTGTCAAGAGCACCAATTGGACAACGAGCTTGTTGGGTAATTATCAAATTTAAAACGCGAAAAGCATCATCTTCGTAAGTTTCTTGTGGTTTGATTGAAATAATTCCCGTTGCTTTAATTACCATAACAGTTGTGGTCATGTTTCCATCCTGAATGTTTTTTAACAAATTAAAGGTAAAGACTAGTTTCTAGATACAAACTAGTTAGACTAGGGACCAGATTAAACAAGTTTTTGATACATTTTCCTAGCAAATTCCTAATTTAAGCAAAATTTAGGGCAAAAACCAGTAGCAATAACTCGAAGCCATACCTGGCTACGCCCTTAATGGTTTCAAAAGTCAAGTTCGAAAGCAAGTTAAGCCCAACTTTTTTAAGTTAAGCCCAACTTCTTTAATTAATCATAATAATCACAAACCCTTCGTCCTTCATCGGTTTCAATCGTAACTTCCCCAACAGTTCCAGACTGGACAGGCAACTCTTTCCTAGTATAACACAAATGAGAATCATCATAAACCAAATTGTTACGTCCCTTAAAATATGCTTCGTTTGCCGAAACAAAGCTCCAAAACTTTTCACGGAGAGCCATTCTAAACGGGAAAATATCAAAAAAATTAAATTTAAAAATGAACTTGTTTGTGGTAGAAATTTCTTTGCGTTTGTCCTCCAATTGGTGAAAAAAGTCCACACGATATTTGTAAATACGCATTTTTGTGTTGAATTTTAATTTAAAATAATTAACTACAACATCAGTTCGTCGACCCAAGGCTCCTTTAAAGTTTGACGGATTTTCAGCTTCTGATAACTTAAAAATATATTTAAAATGGTGAGAAGACAAGAAAATAAATTTACTTTTGCAACTTGAAAGTTTCGCATAGGGCGAGGTGCGACTGGTCCTCCTCTTCCCCCACCTCCAGATCTTCCACTGTCATATCCACCAGAGCCGCCGCCACCTCCCCCTCTGAATCCTCCACCACCTCCACCACCAGAACGGTCATATCCTCCGCCACCACGACCTCCACCGCCCCCACCACCAGATCTTCCACCGTCATAACCGCCGCCACCTCCACGGCCTCCGCCACCACCACCGGGACGACCTCCTCCGCTACCACCAGAACGCCCTCCTCCTTGGCTATATCCTCCCCCTCCACCACCACTTCGCCCTCCACCACCACCTCCTTTCCAATTAGACATGTGTTTGAATAACAGAAATTAAGATAAAAGTAATTTTCAAATCTAAAAGCGATAACTTTAATTTAGAGAGTTAAGCAGGAACTCCAATTCCTTATACTATAAAGCATTAAACAAAAACTAGTTTATCGATTCCCTAATCCACGTTAATCTATGATAACAAGATGACCGAATTAAATGCTCCCAAAAATCTCGGGTCTTGAACCTAACGATTATTGCTTAGACCAACACCTAAGTCATCAAAAACCACAAGAACAAATGTAACTCAATAAATAATTAATTGTCAAAAACAATTGTGTAAAAATAAAACAAATTGAAACAAAAGTGATCGTTTATTTAGAGAAAAGATTGGTGATAAAATCATGTCATATTTTACGTCAAATAATCGAAAACATCAAATGAAACAAAAAAGTCCAAGCCAAGATTGAGATACTGCCAAATAACCATAAAAGACCTTCAGATGTACATCAAACACATGCCACCCAACTGTTCCTGATAGACCTAAAAAAGAGAAAAAAAAGTTAATTGAATAGATATCACAAAGATAAACCTCAATGACATCATCCTCCTCCATTTCCAAGCTCTTTGGAGTATCATCGTCATTGACGCGCCTACCATCAAACAAAAAGCGAAGCGCATTGACCTGAAAAAAGGGATTGTTGCTGTCTAGTTATCAACAAACTAACCGCAACGCCCGTACGCTCAGCGTACGCCTTCTTCAGTTTTCCCATGCTGGTCCCAAACTTGACTCGGAAATGGACTTCATTGGAGTCCTAAAAATGAAAACATTGAATTTTAGTTATTAGAAGTAAACTACAAACTTGGCCAACAACTTTAATCTTGATGTATTCAGCCGACGGTTGAGTAGTTTCACCGGTAGCGGCAGTAGTGTTGTTATCTGCTGTTTCAGCCATTATAATTTTTTTTAAAGATTGTAAAAAAGCTAATTTCTAAAAGTTAACTAATAAAAGAATTTAAGTTACAACAAAAAATAATATTTTATAAGAAAATTATGAATACAACATAAACCAAATGACGTAACAAAAAGTCAATGCAATCAATAATGAATATTTTTTATACGGTAATTTCTTTGCTTTTATATGAAATGGTATGGGATAGTGATTTTGAAATCGACGTTTTGACATGAAATGTCATTATGACAAGCTCATTTCGCTAAAAAGACGTTTTGTCAATAGATGAGTTGTCACTAGGGTTGTTGCGACAATTGCGCATACAATTGCGGACGACAAAAGTGGACATCATTTCCGGATTTGACAATTGTCATACCGCCGACAACAATGCGTTTGTTAATAAGATCAACCTTAAGCGATGTCCCGTTCCCTGTCCCAAAACGATAATCAGATCCGATCGTTTTGTAAAAATCATAAATTTCTAAGACAGCCAATCGTGACTTTCAATATTCATCCCATTACAATTTATGGGATAGTGGTCAGGAAAAAGAAAACTCAGCTAAAAAATAAAACTGCGCGCAAGTTTAGAGCTTTCTATTGTAAGTTTTGTTCGAAAACGTTGAAATACAAAAAAAAATGTGGATTGAAATTATTATATCCGATACTTGTACTTTTTTACATCTCATAAAAAGTTTAAAACAAATCATTAAAGTAAATATTTATCATCATTAAAAGCAAATAAAATTTACAAAAAAAAGCAATTTAAAACAAAAGTAGAAAAAACATTCAAATTATTACATAAACAAAATTAAACAAACAAAAAAAATAAATAAATTTAAAATGATGAATTTGTCAAGAGCGCCACACCACGCTGACTAAGCAATGCCTTATCAAAATTAACGGGAACAAAATATAATTCAAAAAGGAACTGTGCACGATTTGAATATAAATAAACCGGAACAGAAACAACTTCCTTCTCCTTTTGCTTCTCCAATGTCCAAACAAATTGAAGTTTGTCAACTTCTGAGTGAATACAATCTGTCAACTTTATTTTATTTGGAGATTCACAATTAATTCCAACTGCTCGGAGGCCTAAAAAATTAATTTTTTTTTCAAATTTTAGTGTTTAAAACAAACCTGTAAGTGAAAAACTTGTTGGTCCTTGCTGTTGTTTTTGTTGTTCAACACCTTTCCCAACAGTACGAACATGCATATTTAACTGTTCTAACGACCACCCATTAGTTTGTGCTACAAATTGTCGCGTTGCAGTGATGTAAGCTTCAGGGAAAAACATTCCTCCAAGCCAAATACTTTCTGCTTTCAAGTTGTTAGAACGGGAAAGTCGATCCAATTGTTTAACACGTTCTTTCAAATCATTCATCCATTCATGTGCAATAACATCACGAGGAGTTGTATATTGTTTCCAGCTTTGAGGCACCTGTTTGCTTTTTACAAGTGCAGCAATTAATTCACGAGTGTGATTGTTCTGTTTATGTTTGCCATCACATATTTCAAGCAATTCAATTAAATCTTTACGAATCTAAAATAAAATTATGTAAATCTTTATTTCAACAAATAATAACCTCATTAAGCAAACGAGAGCCCAAATTAATTTCACGCTCAAAGAACCGGAAAATTGGATCCTTAACATTTTCTTTTGTGCGACGCAATTTGCAAATCTCCTAAAAAATTTTATCGAAATTGAAAACAATCAGTTAGTAAACCTTTGGAAATTCTGCCAACCAAGCTTGACAATGTTCTTTAAGAACAACCATCCAAGAAGGCGCTACTTTATTTTGTAAAGAGCTGTCAATTTCGTCATAAGCTAGCTCATCATCTGACATTTTAAGCATTTTACGAAGCAATTCTTGACCTTAAAATTAAAAAAATTTTGTTTAAAGTCTTTGTATAAAAAATAAAACCTCGTTCCGTCAAAAGAACTTTTTCTGCATTATTTGGAAGACCAATCCAACTTGGCATTTGAGCTGCTTTTATTTGATGGACCCAATTGATTAAACTATCCTTTGTTGAAGTTTCATCTGGCACAACTAACGGAGTAGAATTTCCATCAATATCTTCGATTAATACAAAATTGGAATCAAAAAGGCATTGAGTGAATAATTTATTTAGGAATGTTTCCAACAAATTCTAAAAAAGAAAATAAATAAAAAATATACTATGAATTAAAATTAAACCTGATCAAATCGATTATCAATTTTTCCACCATAAATACATTGTGACAACAATGAACGTAAAGCCAACCAAGGAAGTTTTGATGGTTTGACATTACTTCGTCCCTATAAAAATATAAACTTAAAAATACTTAAACTGATAAAAATACTTGAGCAATTTCATCAACCGATTGATCCAAAGTATCACAAGCAACACGAAGATCTGCATCTGAGAATTCATATGAATTTGCCCATCCAAGTGGTTGATATCTCAAACGTTCTTGAACTATTGCATGGAACCAACACAACAAAAAGTAAAGTCTTGAACGTTCAGCAGGATTTTTCGCAATTTTCTGAGGAGATATTGACGAAATTGAGCGCAATAAGTTCGCTTTTAGACCGGTAGAAGGCTCAAATACTAGAACACGAGAAGCCTAAAAATAATAAACATTATTTAATTGACGCAAGTTAAAAAAAACCTGAATCATTGAAACAGGTAATTTGGAGTTAATTTCAGCAGTTAAGAATAATCGGAAATTATTATGAGGCTTCAAATTATGCAACTTCTTTTCCAAATGTGTAAGCCAATCAGTTGCCAAATGAACATTTTTCAGTAACATCCAACGTCCATTTCTACTAGAAGAATCAAGTGCTTTGTCAGCTTGATCAAATCCTTCAGAAGACCCAATTGCAATTGAAATCATATCTTTATTATTCATTTCTACAGCCAAATCTTCTACGCGTCCAGAAACATCATAACCAACAGCCGAACATAAAAGTACAGGAACTTTGCTTTTAATCTGAATTTCAAAAAAAAATTATAAAAAAATCAATTTATAATTCAAAAAACAACCTCATGTTCGATAACTTCTCGAAGATTTAGTACTTTATCTTGAAGCATAAATTCATTACCAAAAGTTGCACAAATAAGCAAATGTGCAGAAGCAAGTAATCGATCTGGCCTCAACGTGTAAATAACAATAAATTCGTTTAGAGCTTTTGTAATTGCTGTAATTTTAAAACAAATAAAAATATTTAAAGATGTTAAAACTAACGATTTCCAAGCTCTTTAGTTGTCCATATTTCAGGAACAGAATTTTCTGGTTGATCAGATCGAAGCCATTCAGTCAAATCCTCAGTTGTAACAGATGTTTTAAATTTGTCAATACATTCCTTAAATGCTGGCAATCTTGAAAGTGAAATAAGAGAAGCAATTTGTTGTTCATTTAATGGTGGAATGACAATTTGTTTTAAATTTTGATTTGTTGCACTTTTAAGTTGTAGCTTGGAAGAATAAAGAAGCAAATAATCAAATTCTTCTTCAAATTTGTTTGAGCTAGTACAACGCAAATAAATTCGTAACAAAAGAAGAGCCAACAAAATTTTATCAATGTGCATCATGCCATGAGAGACACGTGAATATGTCAACTAGAAAAATAAAATTGTTTTTGTCTTTTGAATGAAAATTTACCGAAAACAAATCCTGAAGAATAATTGAAAGCCTTGTATGATGATCTTTTACTCCAGACAATCGCGGCGATTTCAATGCATTTGTGAATATATCCAAAAGAAAATCGAGCGAATAATTGTAAAGAAGATGAATTTCTTCCAATTGATGCAACATCATGTAAATGTAGGAACAAGCAGTAGCCAATTTGTTGTATTCTTGAGAAACACGATCAACCTAAAATTTATAATGAAAAAAACCCAATAAACACAAAAAAACAAAAACCTCTTTTATGACTTCATCAGTTTCAGAAGACTTCTTTTGTACTTCCTTTGCTTCGTTTTTAAGTTTTTCCAACGTTGCAATAACTGAATCATCATCAAGAATTTTTCCTTTTGAATCATTGAGAGCATTCAACAAAGCCTTCTCCAACTGCCTAAGTTTTACCGCAAATTCTCCTTGTAATTTTAGTAAATTGTTTCGCTTCTCTTCAATATCTGGACGTTCACTATGAAGCACTTGATTGAGACATTGTAATTCCAGACTAGTTTTAGTAATAGTAAAGTTGACGAAAGTGACACGAGAGCAAACATCAGAAGGAAACTCAACCTTTAAAATAAAAAAGTATTTTAAGAAAAAAAATAAATAGAATACCGAAGAATCTCGTGTAAAAAGAAATATTTTGAAGGCAGGTGATAAATCAATGTCTTGATCTCCAATTGTGATAAGTACACGACCACTTGCTTTCTTGACCTCTCTGTTCAAGACTGGATTCAGAATTGGATCATAAGATTCAACATCTTGGACTAACAATGTAGTGCCAAAACGTAATGCTGACTCAAGTGTTTTCCTTAAAATTAAAATCTCAATTTATTTATAGAAAAATTATAAAACAACCTGAAGGAATTATCATTAAAACTGGTCTTCTGAACAGTTATTTTTTGATCTCTATTGTTGGAAGAAAATTCCTTGCAAATATAATCAATTGATTGTCCATTTGGATCAATGATAAGAGGGAAGCGGTTAAAGTTATGAAGCATTATTGCATTTTCTGTGCAAAGTTCATCCTTTGGCATTCCATTAGTATACCATTGTTGTCGCTCATCAGCAGTTGAAAGATATTCAATACGAGCAAGTTCATGACGAAAGACAACATCGGCTGTTTGCAAAATGTTCATCCATTTATGGAATAATTTGTCTCGTAAATATTGGTCATAATAGCCAGAGTAAGAGAGGAATGCAGCAGAAAGAAGAACATCACCAACAAGAGTCGCATTTTGTTGACTAAATCCTTCACGGCTAGCTTGCCAACGGTCACATTCTACTCGAAGTGAAGAAAGTAGTTGAGTGCTTCTATCAACTTTCTTTTGCACAGCAGCAAGATTTTGCTTGATGTTTTCTGCTTCTGCTATAAGTTGGGCATATTCATCCTTAAATTATATTTTATTTTAGAGAAATATATTTTAAAAAACCTTAAGTTTTTGGATTCTTTCCTCTAATTCTTCAATCTTCCTTTTAACTTCTCCACCTGCATGCGCTTTTTGACTTGCATCCTGTTGAAGACGCGAAAGTTCATTGTTTAACGGCTCCACTTTGTTTAACATTTTGGCATAAGAAAGTTGTGCTTTTGACCATTTTACGAGTGGACCACATGCTTGACTGGCACGAAGAACCTTTAAAATAAATTGATAAATATAATGTATAAATAAAATCAGCAACCTTTTCATACTCCCAGTCTGGATTGTTAACAAATGGTTTCATTTTCTCTGTAATTTCTGGAGTGATTGCTTCTGTATTGAATTGAACAATTCTTGGAATAAAATCTTCTTTGACCAAAATTCCACGAATATCTCTCCAGCTGCTAACTTTTTCACCAAGTAACAAACAAATAGCTTCCACAGCAAGCTGGACAGCTTTGGGTGGTGAAGCCATTGATCGAACCTCAACAAGTTGTTGTTTCTTTATACCCGAAACAGCACTTTTAGCCTCTTCAACAGCAGGTAATACCTTTAAAAATAAATGGTAACTTGATTTAGAACGAAAAAGAAATCTTACATCAGCAAGTTCTTTCTCCACTTCAGCTTTCTTTATTTCAATCATTTTCTTCTCATTACGAATCTGTTCTTGTAAAGTTTCAGATTTCTTCTTCTCATTTTCTGCTTCCCTTTGATCAGCCAACATTTGTTGCAACTTTTCATTAGCTTGTTTTTGTTTTGTTCGCAATTCTTCACTTTTCTGACTCAATGAAGATTTTAATTCGGTAACTTCTTTTTCAGTTTCTTGAATCTTTTTCAAACCATTTTCAAGGTGAATTTTTTCCTCTGTTAATTCCTAAAATAAAAATTTTAGCTAAAAAAAGGAACTAGTTAAGTTACTTCACGTTTCCTTTTGAACAATGTTGTGAAGTGTTTAATGAAATCAAGATAATGTCGAGGTGTGACAGCCATGACACGATGCCCTTTCCGCGACTCAACATCATTCGTCCTTTGAACCTCGTTGTGAATGTGAACAAAAGAGTTGACAACAGCATCACGATAGTAAATTTCAGTAGGTAAACGATCACAACAGTGTTCCATTGCAGCTGGTGGAACATAGTCAGTTTTATCTATCTCGAACATGGAAGTAAGTTGATCGCCAACTTGATACAAAGATGCATTTGACCAGTCGCCAAACCAATTTAAGACGCAACGATTGAAAAGAGCAGGCGATGTTGATGCACGAGCACGAAGTCCATCGCCAGATGGATTCATTGTAAAGACAATATGAAGGTTTTGAACAATCTTAAGATTTTCAATTTTAGCTTGACAAAATTTTATTTACCAACCTGTTGGGTAAACCATTTATATAATTCCTCTGGCGAGTCTGGCATCTGTCCTTGACGTTGAGCTCCTTCTTTGATTTGATTAAGCAGTGTGTTGTAATCATCGCCTTCAAAAAGTCCAGGAACTTCGCCATTTGCTAATAGTGTATTAAGTCGTTCCAAAAAGCCAGTTTCCAACATGTTTGACTCATCCATAATGAAGCAAATTTTTTCGCCTTTACAGCCTGCTCTGCGCAAAACTAGTCGAACATCTTCATCGAAATCGGAACCTTTGTATTTTGAATGAACTTTGAGCTGAATTATGGAAATATAAATTTAAAAACAAAAACTAACTAAACCTGCACAACAGAATAACCATTCATCCAAGCAACAAATCGTGAAAGTGTTGTTTTACCAGAACCGGAGACACCAATCAAAAGCAAATGTCCTTGAGGTTGACGAAATACGCGATCAATTCGAAGAAGATGGTCAAGCATTTGATCATATAAGACAATACCAACGTCAATTTCCTCTTCATTATATTGTTTTAAACGATGAACCACGTGATCGGCGAGTTCTTTTTGTGAAACAGGAGAATATTTCTAAAGTGTTAATAGATTAAAAAATTTATTTATTGTTAGTCAAGCCTTTTTAAGCCACGAAGAATAAAGTATTGGACGCTCAAGCGCTTCACGTAAATCACACGATCCAGCAAAGTATTTCCCAGCGATTTCATCAACTAAATCTTCAGTCCATTTTCTTTCTTCATCATAAACAAGTCGATCTTGGAAAAGACGAAGTGCCTCATGAGCCCAGAGACGAACTAAATCATTTGTAGTTATACCATCCATTGGTGCAATAGCTTCATTGATTCCTCTTACCCAACGTGTCAATTCACGAGGAGAATAAACATAATGTGGTTGATCGTCTTGTGTAAAATGTTCCTATAATTTAAATAAATAGATTGATAGATTTCAAGTTAATGCAAAAAATTACTTGACTTCGCTGATAAAATTCAACAATCGCATCTGTTAGAGGAACATCTTTGCCATGTAATTGTGTGATTGGTCGAAGCATTGCACGAGCAAATGTTCCATAAATTTGAATCAATGATGTTTCGCCAGGATAATCAACATAAATAACTGGGACATGTCGAAGAAATCTTGATGAAAGCGGATTTCGTCCAGGATCAGTTGGTGGGTTACATGCTCCGACGAACTGAATGCGCTCCAATGAGACCCAAGATTTGTCACTTGTTCGGTAGAAACCATTCTATAAATTGAAAAGTAAATATCACTCAAATAAGAAAAAGAAACCTGTTCAACTAACTGTCGCATAAATGAAATAACTCGTTGTGTACCATATTTATCAAGTTGGGGTAAATTTATTTCGTCACAGAATATAACAAGCCAACGTGTAATTTGAATAGGTGAGAGAACAACACCATTTGGAGTTCGGCGATATTCACAATAATGATCGAAGTTTTTAAGAAGAAGTTCAGGAGTGGTGGAAGAAGAAAAGTTGACATTAATTACATCCATATCAGGGAACGACCTAAAATTTTATGATAAACAAGTACAAAAAATTTATTATAATACCGAAGTGCAGAAAGTAATGTCATTGTTTTACCAGATCCAGGAGGACCACACAAAACAAGAGGTTTCCTTTCATTCAACCAAGTATTTAAAAGTGATTCATGGCGAACAGTGTCCATTGTTGGTATAACAGTTGAAGTATCCACAATTTTATCTGATTGAATTTCAATTTGAGGGACTTTATCAGACCAAGGCGTCCAATCACCAGTCGGAGGAACATAGAAATCAATCAGCGGTAACTAATTAAAAATCAAAATTATTAAAATGAGGAAAAAATAAAACCGATTCATTTTGAGGTAATTGAATTGTTGTAGAGCTACGAACAAAGTCACTCAATGCTTTCCGAGATTTCCAATTGCCATCGCCGCTAAATGACCAAATGAGATTAATAAGCATCGAGCGTCCAATGAAATTTTCAATTTGTTCAGTCTAAAAAATATTTAATTGATTGCATTATTAATAAAAATAAGTTTTACGGTTGGTGGAAAATCAGGATGATCGGCATCATACTGCAATAATTGTTTTATTGAAAAATTCATCATTGAGAAGAATGACATTAAAAGTCGTTGTTTTGATGGATACATTATATGGTCGAGTTGCTCGATTGTAAAGTTCAATGCAAGAGGAATAAGCCCACCTCCCTTCATATGATCAAATAATAAATCAGCACAAATTTCTTGAAGTTTTAATGAATTTGAAGGATTTTCAGTAAATAAAGGAATATTTCGAAGTTGAAGATGATAACGTTCAAAAAGCATATCAGAAGTAACTACATCCTCACTGAACCAGACCATTCCACACCGCGAAACAGTAGCCATAGTTGCATATTTCAAATCAGCCACTTCGAAAATTATACGGACCTAAAATGAACAAAATATAGACGAAGCTTCTAATTGTAAGAAAAATGTTACTATTAAAACACAGAAATTTAAAAAAATAAATAGCTTACATTTGGTGGGATAGCAAGACGTTCTCCGTTTGGTAAGGTAAGAAGTTTATTGTCGTCAAGAACGGAGTTAAGATTCTCGACCCATTCTGGATCAACATCTCCATCAAAAATAATCCATTGTCGTCGGCTAGCTTCACCGCGAACATTGTCGACAATTCTTAAAATCAAAATAAAAAATATATATTTAACAACACTAACTTTCTAATAATATGTGTGAAGAGTCCATCAGTCCACTCTCTTGTATTGGGATCCAGAACACCATAAAGTGCATCTTTACTCATTGCTTTAGCATCAATAACATGTGAGACACCTTCTACATTTTCTAACTTCTCCAATGATTTGAGTAAGATTTTCCATGCCGATGATTTTCCCGAACCACTAGAACCAACAAGCATCAAACCGTGATTGAGATTTGTTATTTGGTAGACTTGCAGAACTTTCTCCATCCATAGAGATCCTTTTTCACCAACATCTGTTGAACAGCAGAAGTGTTCTTCAGTGGCAATTCGAATAATTTCATCGCGCAAACTGAAAGAAAATATATTATATGAAGTCATTTAAAAATTGTTTACGTTTCCATTGACTTTTGCTGATAATCAACTTCAGGGAAAACATCATGTAAAAGTGATTGTAACAAAGTAATATCTTCTGACACTAGTTTTGGAGTAAGTGTTTCACAAACAGATTGAATAAGAATTTGCTGCTCAGAAATTTGCAAGGAAGAAACATCGGCTTCCATATTGCTTTCATTAGTATTTTGTATTGCTTCACGCTTAATGTTTCCAGCAGAAACCAAAACATTTTTCAGTGCACGAAGGCCAAAATCATAGTGGCATTGGCTGGAAAGTTGTTCTTTGCAAAGACTTAAAATTTAAAAAATATTATAATAGAAAATGATTAAAAAACTCACGTAAATAAGAGAACAATTTTGTTTGAAAGAATTTCCGCAGATTGGAATCCTTGTGATGAAAGCATAACTTCAGCAATAAGCCCACTGTCAGGAGCAGTCATTGCAAATGAACGGAAAAGCTGCTTCAAATTATCTGGGAGATTTGAACGACCAGAATATCCAGGATTCATAGTGATAAAAATAGCCATGTTTTCATTGACGGTTAAATTCTTTCCAATAAGATCGACCTTAAATTTAGAATTAGACTTTGGTAAACTAATTTAAATAAACCTTCATGTTGCCACCATTCCTTATAGTTTCTTGAATTGCTTGGATCTGTTGAGAGACTGCAGAAAGCATGCGTTCCTCCAATCGATTAAACTCGTCAAAACAACCCCAAGCACCAACTTGGCAAAGCCCAACAAGAATACGACCAACAGCCTAATATAAATTAAGAAAATAAAATAAACAAAAATTAACTTGAAAATCAAAAGTTTCATCACAGTTAAAGACAAGAACAAAACATCCAAGCTGATGACCAAGCGCTTTGACCGATTCAGTTTTTCCAGTACCAGCCGGTCCAAACGGGCTACCTCCAAATCGAAAATGCAATGCTTGAGTCATGGTAAGATAGCAACGGTCAGTTAAAGGAGTTTGAACAAGTTTTTCTTGGATTCCCAAATATTCAAATCCATAATAGAAGACAGCATTCGACATTTTTATAACACATTTTTTTGTATTTGCTTCGAAGTAAACACGCAAATTCTAAAAGAAAAGTAATAAAAACAATAATGTATTTTCTAATAACCTTTAACCAGTTGTAATCATTAAGTGTTTTGACCTCATTTTTAAGAAGATCCCTTATAATTCCCTTCTTGTGAATGAATGCAGTAATCTAAAAAATATTATTTAAAAAATCAAAAAAATATTAGTACCAAATTTATAATTTTCAATCTTGTAATACGAGGTTGATCACAGAGAACGCTATTAGACAACAAAGAAAGTAATTTCTCAACTAAAGCGGCAACTTTAGACAAATTTTCACCATTTTTTAAACACATTTCAATAGCATTCGTCCACCATACATCCATTGCAAGATTAACGATTTGTGACTTTAAAAAAAGAAAATTTTTGAAGTTTAGAAAAAAAAGAATTTTACCGGATATTCTTCAATCCAATTAATGTATTCTTCCATTATTATTTTTTGAACATCATATACGAAAAATTTATTTAAAGAAATAGAAAGCATTTCTGCAAGTGTAGCTTGCATTTCACGCTCCATCAATCGAAGCCAGTCATTAATTTTGGAATTTTTAATCAAATCAATTGGAGTAGTAAGCGAAACAGTTTCACCTTCTCGAGAAGAAATTGCTTTTATCAAATTCTTCTCTGTATCGTGTTCAACAGCCACAATTCCTAAAATATTTTTTTCAGAAAAAATAATTATAAAATACGAAACCTGAAAACATCTTTTTGAAATGCTTTTGTACGCGGACTAAATCCTTTGAATTGCCAAGAATTTCTAATAAATCTTCATCGCCAACAAAATAAAATCGAGGAAAAGAATTTCTTTCACGTTCCAAATATTCACCAAGTGCTTTTTGTATTTTTGAAAGTAAATCTGCCAAACGTTCAAGTATTTTTTGAGCTCCTTGTATATGAACAACTTCGAGAATACGTGGGGATTGTGAAACCTAAATAAATAATTTATTGCTAGTAAATTTCCATAAAATAACCTTTCGCATTAGGCCAAGAAATTCTGTTGAGACTTGATTAAATCGACTAGTTTCGGATGGAAGCAAATGAGCAATATCCGCTGATCCAGTAAAAAGACCTTCCAAATAAACCCATCTTCTTTGTACATCAATCCAAACATCAAATAAAGCATTAATTCTATTAAGTTTATCCTCCCAAGATAAAGCATCTTCCTCAAATTGTTTGTAGTAGGAAGACAGTTTCATTTGATTCAAACTATTCATGTGTTCTTTCAATTTGTTAAATAAGTCATCCCATCCACGAATTAATCTAGTCTTTTGCTGATAACCAACCAAATCAAGAGTATAATCAGTCCAATAGTCTTTAACTTGTCTAATAAATTCTTCTAGTGCAAGTTCTCCTTGAGCTGTGAGTAGGACCTCACGTACAGCATGTTCATGTCTCTGAAGATCAACGCTCCAAACTTTTCCCAATGTTAATTCGGAAAGAACCCAATTAACGCCCATCTCCTTCATTAATGCTAAAAATAATAAAAACAATTTAAAACATATAAAAAAAGAAAAATTACTTCTCCAATGACGATCCTTTAAAGCCTCAGATTTTAACTCCATAATAAGAAGGTTCATCTAAATTGAAAGTAAAGTATGAAAAATTATATTTAGAGCAAATAAACAACCTTCAAGTAATTCTGCAAAAGACCTTTAACATGAGCATATGCATCATATTGTTTATAGTGAGAGGGAAGATTTCTCAGTTTACCAAGTTGTTCCTCCAAATTTTGACGTAATTTTCTAGGTTGAATAGAAAGCCAGGGAATTTCCTTTAATTCGTCCAAATTATTGTAGATAGGCAATAAAGATTTCCAAACGCCTTAAACATAAAAACCACTTTAAGAAAAAAACGAAAAAATACATGATAAATCCTCAAGTTCCTCAATCGCAAGCTCCAATTTTGAAGCTGATTGTTGGTTTATACTAACAACAGATTCACTGATCTCCAACGCGTTTTTGGCCTTCACAATATTTTCTTGTTCATCTTTAAGTCGTTTAAACTTATCCTCGAAATTAGTCAAAATGGTCAAAGCATCTTTAGGACGAATTGCTCCTTTTACAGGTCTAGATTTGTTCCATTCACTAATAAGATCATTAATGTGTTTTTCTAAAAGTTTATCCTCTTCATGAATTCTTGTTTGAAGATTTGTAATCTGATAAAGGAAAAATATCTAGGTGGCTAAAATTTAGGAGAAAAACCTGTGTTTGAATCGCAGTATCCTTCCTTTCCAAAACATCCATTAATGCTGACCACTCACCCTCAACATTTTCAGCATAAAGCCAAGACGGAGGAAATGTAAAACGATGATTGTTTAAAAGTTTTTGGCCCGTACAATAACTGCTTACCTTAAAACATTCAAATATAGAGATCAAAAAATATTAAAACAAACTTTCTCTTTGAAGGGAACGATATGCTTTTTCAAATTTTGTACTTGAGTAATAAGAGCAACAGTGTCACTTGTATTAGTTGAATCAATACTTTGGGATTCGAGCTCAGAACGTGCAGTAGAGATATAAGCAAAAAAGTCTTGCATAGAAGTTCCTAAATTATAGTATTTATAAAACAAATAAAAAGATGAAAACAAACCCAAAAAATTTCCAAATTTAGACAGAACTTCTTTTTGCCAATAATCATATTTCATAGCGATTTTTGACTGAACACGAGAATAATCAACAGAGAAAGGGAATATTTTATGCTGGGATTCTGGCGAATCAACCATAGAACGAGACTTTTTGATTTCCAAAATCACCTAAAATTTAAAGTGAAAAAATAAAAAATTAAAAATTTTAGAAATACTTTCATCCAATTAGTTAACTCAGATCCAAGCCTTTCAAAAAGAATATCTTGTTGCAGGTCCCAAAGAGCTTGATAACGAGTCCAATGATTAACATAGTCATTTGTTTTAAGAAGAACATCATCAATTGCCTTGTATGCCTCAAAAAGTCTTTGTTGCTTTTTTGGAAGTTTTAAGAGAACACATTTATAAGTGGAAAATTCTTGATTTTGTTGAAGTGTCTAAAATTTATACTTATTAGGTAACTGAAAGAAAAAATAAAATTACTTGAAAACGAGAAGAAGAAATTCTTGGTTGTGCAGTTATTATTGAATGCCAGTGATAAAATTGGTCAAAAAGATCAGATTTAGCCTTCTCAAGAGACGGAACAACAGTAATAAATTGAGAGACAATACGAATCTCCAAAGTTATTGTATTTATTTTGGGTAAAATGTTAGCTTCCCTCTCATCTTCCAATTCATCACGATTTTGTTGCAAAACTAATGTCCAAACATGAATTGCTTCTTCTAATCGACGAGCAAGCTTAGCTTCCAACTAAAATTAATAAAATAAAGGTAAAAAAAGTTATATTTTCTCACAGTTTTATCAAGTTCTTCAATCCATTTATGCAAATTAGAATAATCATTTAAAGCCATTTGATCAATAGATTTTTGAATAGCTCCAATAATTTGTGAAATTGTTTCTTCATTGTAAAGGCATTTATCCAATGCGGATAGTTCAACATCGATCTTATCAAGATATTCGATCAAATCTGTTACTTTTTCGAGAAAGTTGTTCACAGCCTCCCCAAATTTACAAACATATGACTCAAGTTTAAAATTGCTCCAATCAGTTTTGTAACCCTAAACAAACGTTTTAAGAAATTAACACAAGAAAAAAAGAAAACAGACCTCGCAAAGCAAATCATGAATTATAAGTCTATGACCCGCAACCAAATTTTCAACAGAAGGACGAGTTGAAATAATTTCATTTGTTGATTCGTAAAGCCGAACAGATTCCATTAATGAAATTGCATAAGGATTATATTGACTGATTCCAACAGAATAACTCATAATTTTGAAAGGAATGCGAAAGCCCATATTTTTTAAGTTTCTTACCTAAAAACAAAATAATTTGCAAAAAAAAAATTCAAAAGTTATTACTTCTTTAGCAATACGAATAGAATCAGCAGAATAATTAACACGAAGACGACAAATAACTTTCCCATCACGTTGTTGTTTTTCAACACAAAAAAGTTTGTCATTGGTTGTTTTGCATTTTGTCAAAACTTTATCAGACCATTCTTTAAACATTACTGAAGTATCAAGTTGTTTTTTCAATAAATCACATTCCCGCTTCAATTCTTTTCCTTAAAAAAATTAAAAGTTTGATTGTATAAAATTAAATTAAAAAAACCTTCAAGATGATTAACCCATTGTGTTCCCAAAACATCAGCAATTCTTTGCATATTCATATTAAGCTGCAACTCATTTTGACGAAGCCACATAACTTTAGCAGAAAATTCAGGAATATCATATCCCTCCACAACAAAAATTGCCAATTCCATCTTTTTTGGGTCAATAATAGTTTCTTGGAGAATACGAATATCTTCACGAACACGATCAATTAAAACAGCTTGATACTCCCTAATAGCAGTTTGAATATGAGGACGAACAAAAAGAGCATTGTAACGAGAAAAGATTGAAAACATATCATCAGCGCTTTTACAACTTCCAAGTTGATCACGAAGATGTGAGGCTAACTAAAATAAAAAGAAAAATTAAAAGAAGAACGAAAAAATCAACCTGAGTTTCAATTCCAACGATATGATTTTTGTAATATTGCATAGAACTCTGCCAAGCTTGCTGACCAGAATGACTCAAATCCAAATAATTAACCTCCTTAATAGCTTCATATGCCTTGATGACCTTAAAATAAAAAAAATTAAAGTAAAATACAAATCTAAAAAACCTCCTTCTCGGGATTTGTTTGTTTTCCAGTAATATTCCCAAGAGAATTTGCTCCTTTAAAACGTAAAACACGAGAAATAACATTGCTTAACTGTTCGTGCTGTCGTCTTAAAAATCACAAAAATATTTTAAAAAAGAAAAATTAAAATACCGAAAAGTGTTAAGTTCATTCAATCTATTCTCTAAATCTTTGTGGCGATATTGAGTTCGATGCTGAAATTTAACATCCGAACGTTGACGCTTTGCAATATCACGGAACATTCCTTGAATTTTGTCAGATTCCTCATCCCATTGAAACCAAATCTTCGAACAAACAGCCATAACTTCGTCAAGTTCAGAAATAGGAGCATGCATAAGTAAACGAGGTTTGAGAATCTAAAAGTCATATAAGATAAGAAAATACAAGACACTAATACAACCTGAATCATCTGTTCACAAAGATCTGCCGAAATTGTATTGAAAAATTGCATTGCACGTTTAACAGGATATTTTGTATTGCGCAATTTCTTGAAGACATTGAAAATGTTTAAAACTGCCTGACGTAAAGAATCCAAATCAGAAGCACCCAAAAGTTCACTTAACGGCAAATCCTTCATCAAAACATTATAATCGATTGCAGTTGTCAATTTTTCTTTTAAACCTTTTTAATTTAGAAAATTAGAGTTATAAAGTTCAAAGCAAACCAGTATCAGATTCAAAAGAAGTCGTAACATGAAAACGTTTTCCTGCCTTTAACACATCAAGAGTAGTAATAACTTCAACAGAATCGTGTAATGCTGTAATTTTAACAAGAGCCTTCTCCAAATTAATCCAAAAAGTTGCTTCTTGTAGTGCAGTACCAGATGATGGATCTCGATCCATATTTGTGACTTTTTGAATAGCTTTTATCCATTCTAAAACACCTTTTGAAAGAGAGCTCAAAAATTCGGGGTCTTGTCCAAGTTCTCCAAGATCTTCTAAAATACAAAACTAAACTTTAAACGAAAATGAATATTTAACCTGGTTTGGGTTTTCGATTTTGAGATTTGGCAGCATCCACAATTTGTTGAATGTGAGGGTTGATCTGAAGGCACAACTCTGGTATTTCAATGTTTTGTTCCAAGTGTCGCAATGCCACTTGTAATTCATTTAAAGACTTTTCTATTGGAGACAATTTGGACTGATCACGATCAAATAAACGTTTGAAATGTCTAAATCCCTGCATCCATTTTGTCAGATCTTTTTGGAGATTTTCAATAAATTCATTCGGTTCTTGAAATTCTGCAGACTCGTCATGATCCCGTGCAGACGTATTCGGTTCAAGTTCTTCAGCTAATTGATCAGCTGTAGTCATTTTAAAAAAAACTGAAAATTTTTTAGCAAAACTTTTAAAAAATGAAAAAGCATTATGTTAAAGAACATTACAAAATATTTCAACATTTATAATGTAATGATTGATTGAAAAGAAAAAAATTCATTCGATTTTATACGCAAGAGCGCGAGATTCCGGAAAATAGCAATGTGATAAAATAAATAGGTAAATAAATAATTTGCTTAACAAAACAATTTTAAAAGTTGTCAGAATGTTTTTAAGGTGGTTTGGGATTTTTAAAAGTAGAGACCGGACCGAGACGAGATCTCGAACAAAAATACGGTTATCGAGATGATATTTCCGTGATAACTTTTCGAGATATCGATCTTGATTCTCATATGACCCTCCCAGTCCGTTCTCTTTTCAAAGGAAGTCAATAAGGTAGAATATGTAAATTATCAAAAGTCATCAGTTTGGTTATAACAGTTTGGCAAGAATAGAAGGTAATCCAGCAAATTCAAGTAAAGCAGACAAAATTGTAGAAAGGCACATCACCTTTAAAAACATGAGATTAAAACTAAGCAAAATATTAAAAATTCATACTTGCATCCATTCATCAGTATTACCCAACCAATTCTCATCCTTCAATACTTCTCTAGATTTTTTGTTAAAATTTAAATTTTTTGGTTTAATTTGTTGTTGATTTGATAATTGTGTTTGACACTTTTCGATTAAACCCAAGCCATTATTTTGAAAATTTTGTTGATTAATTAGAATTTCCAATTGAGCAATCATCAAGTTTTGATTTTGAATTATTTGACGAATAAGCGCTAAAATATCTGCATAATCTTTAGTAGACATTTTACTAGAAAATTAAATGTTAAACAATTAGTTATCTAAATAACAAGGATGACCCCTTCCGCATTATTAAAGACGAAAGCGAAAAGGACCCTACCTCTACTAACGAATATTTAACAAGGAAAATACGAAAGCTTAAGACTCGTTGCTTTTATAGTAAATTTGTAAATAAAAACAACATAACGCCAAACAAATAAAATTAAGTGTAAATTCAAAAACAAGAGTTTATCAATCCACAGAAATCTTAACCTTCCGAACATTTTTTGTAAACTAGATGCGAAAATGATACGAGGAATGATAAAAGCATTATGAAAAACGAAAGCCAAACCTTCGATAAAAGTGAAAGATTTGCTAGATAATGGAAGTACAAACATCACAAGACAAAATTTAAACCTTATATATTTTAAAAATGCTTAAGTAAAAGAACCTAAAGTCAATTGAAGCACTAAAATGCTCACATATGAAATTGAAACACTTTCAAATTTATAATTCAAAATATAAACATTTAAACCACAAATTTTAACTTTAACCAGAAAAATTAACAATTTTTTTCAATCAACAATTTTACTTTACGTTTTATTTTCCTCCCTTCTTTTTGGAACTCCCGCCTTCTTTTCCACTTTCCTTCTGCTTGGGTTTTGCAGCTTCTTTTGGTTTAGCCTTGGATGGCTCATCTGCTTTAGGTTTTGGAGGTTCCTCCGGTTTCTTTGCTTCGGTTGGCGGAGGTTTCTGCTTCTTGGTGGCCTTTGGTGGTGGTGGTGGAGAAGGCGAAGCTTCCTTCGCTTCCTTAATTTGTTTTTTAAATCAAAGATAAAACCACTTAAACTTGTTCCCACCCCGTAAAGAGATCTACCCAAGCTTTAATTATAAACCTCTTCTTGAAGCTGTGGAGTCTTCTGCTTTTCGCTCTCAGAAAGTTTGTGGAGCAATTCCTTACGTTTCAAAATCAAACGCTCCTCACGCCTCTTTCTCGTCTCCTTGTTTTTGTTTCGGCGAGCCTCAGCTTGTTCACTAAAAATAGAAAGTTTAAATGCAGTCCAGGTCTTATAAAAGCATACGCAAGTTGTTTAGAACGCTGGTTCTCAGTCTTCTTTTTGAAGATATATTCCATAAGGTTGCGCTTATTCTTGAACGCATTTCCTTTGGCCTTCAGGTAAAGCTCGTGGTAAAGATGCTTGTCAATCTTCTTCGCAGCTCGATAGCGCTTTAAAAGATGGCGGAGTACACGCATTCGACGCATCCATAAGACCTTCTCAGGCATACGAGCATTTCGAGTTCCGCGTCGTTTTCCAAAACCCATATGACGACCCTGAAGTTTTCTAAGGTAAAATGATAATAGAAAAACAAAACCTTTCTGCGTGCTTCCAAACGTTCACGAGCTCGAAAACGCGAATGAACTTTGCCAGGCTTACGAATTATGAGCCCATCCTTGACCAAACGACGAACGTTCTGACGAGAATTCGCGTTGGAAATTTCATTGACCTCATTAGGATCCAACCAGATTTTGCCTTTGCCGCACTTGAGAACCGCGGCCGCCAAACGTTTTTGCAAACGAAGATTACTTAAAAACAATTCTTATAGAAATTTATCAATTTTCAATACCTCATTATGAATTCTAGTTACCAACAATTTTGTCTGAAATTAAAAAGAAATTAACGATTTGTATTATTCTTGAGCTACAAAACTAACAAAAACGATAGTACATATTATAAAATTTTTTAATGGTTCCTAAAAACCCAGCACCGGATTCAAAATCCGAGCTTTATCGATCGATATCCCCTCATTTAAACCGAAAACGAATTTCCGATTAATAACTAAACTAAACATCAATCCCCACATAAAACTCCAAGGAGAAATTCTTAAAATAAGGGTACAGCCCAAGTAGGGACACGCCCGAATAGTCGCGGGCCGAATAGTCGCGGCCGAAAAGTCGCGACCGAATAGTCGCCGGCCGAATAGTCGCGGGGCCATATAGTCGCCGGCCGAATAGTCGCCAATTTTAAAAATATTCTGATTGTAATTAGACCTGCGCGGGACGGGATCCCGACGGGATTTTCGGGGATTACGATCCCGAAATCCCGGATTTTTTTGAATTTCGGGATCATTCGGGTGCCGGATTTTCCCGAAATGCCGGATTTTTTAAATTTCGGGATCCGGGATTTTCCCCCGTCGTTGGACAATTTCCCCCATTGACGGACCAACTTCCCCCGTCATTGGAACAACTTCTCCCGTCATTGGAACAACTTCTCCCGTCATTGGAACAACATCCCCCAGTCCTTGGAACAACACTTTGGTATGCTAGACATTTTTGGAGGTTTGGCATTACAAGCTTTTTGCATTACAAGCTGTTGTATTTCAAGCTTTTGGCATTATAACATCATACCTTTAATTAAAGCTTGGCGACTATTCGGCCGGCGACTATATGGCCCCGCGACTATTCGGCCGGCGACTATTCGGTCGCGACTTTTCGGCCGCGACTATTCGGCCCGCGACTATTCGGGCTGTACCCGCCCAAGTAGGCGCGCAGCCACAAAGGCGTAACGCCATAACTTGCTTCAAGTTTTCCGAATCTACCAAATTTAGTATTAAACGATTCCATTCATCGAGTTAAAGAGATTGGTACCAAAATTGATAAGGGCTAGCAAATTTTCCAGCAAGTTATGGCTTCGTGCCGTTGTGGCCTCGCGCCTACCCTTAAAATTATTGATTGAATGGAAGGGGAAGACATTACCATTTGAGTCATAAATTTTCCTTATTCTTTCAGATTTTTATTTATGTAATTTCCCACTTTTTGCCAATATTATGTCAGATAATTGTGCTTCAACAAAACAACCTCATTTAATGGAATTAATGAATCAAATGTGCAAAGAAGCTGGAATTCAGGAATGTCAACCTCAATTACTTTTACAGGTTTTCTTTTTAATTTTTTTAGATTTTTAATTTTCTGTAGATGTGTGATATGGCCTATTCTCTTACAAAAAATGTTCTTGTAGAGGCTAGATCCGTCGCCGATTTTAGTGGGAAAAAATTTGTTGAAAAAAGTGATGTTGATTTTGCATTGAAAACATTTAGTTTGTTTATTTATTTGTTAAAAAAATTTTTTTTCTTACCCCCTTCCTTAGATGAAAAATATTGTAAAGACCGTCCACCTATTGCTTTAATGAATGATTTGGCACAAGAAAAGAATTCTCAACCTTTACCTCAAATTAGACAAAATTATGGACTTCGACTGCCTAATGACCGTTTTTGTCAGCTACAATCTAATTTTGTTTATGACGATCTTCCGTCGACGTCAAATAATAATAAAGATGAGGATGATGAATTGAGACAACAAAATGTTTGTTTAAATATTTTTTTGACATTTAATAAAATATAACAATACTCGGGGTATCTGTAAAATTCTTTTTTTTTTCAAAATTTCTTTTTATGAGGGTTACTTTTTAAATACGAATATTCATTTTTTATTCTTACATGGGAACATTGTTTACTCTAAATGCGAATTTGCTAGATTTTTTGGTACCATTCGATAGAGGACCCTCGATTTACTATTGTTGTTTGCTTCTTGCAAAATTAGTTTGGGCCGAGTTATGGCCAGTCAAATTTTCAGTCCTTGGGATTGGTTGAGTATAATGATAAAAGCTGACAATAAGTTACGCTTTCCTAGTTTCGCTCTTCATATTTTAATTTTTTAATTTTAACAAGGAATATTATGTAATAAATTAATTCATTTTTTAGTTAGTAGGGGAAGATTACTATTATTCCCTATACTTTTCACAAGTAAAAAATATAAACACTCATTTAAAAAATTTTAATCTCCATTTAGATTCAATCTTCCGAAAATTTCCCTAAACGTCAAAAACCAGAATCATCAACAAACTTTAACCCCGATCTTGTTGCCAATTTATTAATGGGAAGAACAAATAATGACTCGAGGAAGCGGGCTTTTCATGATGAAGAAAAAGAAGATAAGACAGAAGATTTTGATGATTATGATTGTTGAAAAAAATTTTTTTGGTTAAAATCTTTTTTATTTTTTGCTATATTTAACGTAAAATTTTTAAATGAAAATAAATTTATTTTTCATTAATAGATGGTTTTACTTAATCTTTATTTTTTTAATCTTTTCAAATTTATTGTTAGTTACTTAAAATTATTTTATTTTAATATTTATAATATTTAAAAGATCAAACAGTGCAATCAATTCTTGAAATGTTGAACTGCAAAAATCCTCAAAAATGTCAAGGATATTTTTTTACATTTTATTTAGAACGGTTAGTTTTTTATGGTTTATTCTTGTTTGTGAAACCCCATTAAATATTATTGTGGGCTTTTCTTTGCTGGATTTTTAAAAGGCGCCATCGTTTACTTAAGATTCGTATGACCACTAAAGCTTGAAGATAGCATTTTTGAAATAAGTCTACACTTTTAAAATTAACTTAATTAGTCAAAATATTCTTTTTTATAATTTAAATGAACCAAAATCACCTTCGAATAAATTGTCAGCCAAAAATATTACCTTAAAAAGGTCTTTCCTTTAATAAAATTTTTTTGAACCAGTTGTACAAATAAATTAATTTTTATTGGATTAAAATTGAAAATTCCGCACTCCACTTTCAATAAACCCAGTTTTCTATAAAATGAAAATATTCCACCCTTTACTCAAAATAATTATTCTTTTAATAGTTTTACTTGTTCGACCTTCTGCAATTTTAACACAATTTTATAATGGATATAATTCAAATCAACCTTTTAATGGATATTATCTTCCCTATTACTACACAAATGGACTTGGTTTTTGTTATACACCAACTTCTTATTGTCTTTACAATTATGTACCTCCAAATTTTTTGTGTAAGAATTTTTTTTTGAAAAATCTTTTCAACTATGAAGAGGGAGGGGGCAACAGCATCATTGCCAAATTTTGAGATTTTCACTATTTCGGTTTTACTCTCACCTCCGTTCATCCCCTTCTTATAGTTTTGGGTATTTTCGATAGTGTGTGAAATAACAAATAGCAGCTTTAAGAATGCATATATTTTTGGCCTACTTCAACAGATCAACTTTTATCGGTCTTATTTTCAAGACCGATAAAAAACTGCACCCATCCTAATTTTTCTAAAAGCATTATTCGACTCGTTTCTACTTAAGATTTGTCTCTATAGGCTAGCATTTGTTCATTTTGGCTTATATACAAAAAATTTTTAAAACTATTGAGGGGGGGGGTGAGGCAACAGCATCAGTACCAAAAATTCTTTTCTTAATTTTCACTATTTTCAGATTTACTCTCCCCTCTATTGACACAACTCCTTAGCTCTTTATCTTTACCAAATTTGACTAATCTGTTCAATGCTTTGAGCGCCTCTTCTCCCTTCTCTCCAGGCTTTTTAAATAATTTGCGTTTGACAAACCCACCAATTTACAATGCTTATAATCAATTATATAATACATATGGAGCTATGGATCCAACAATGCAGCAAGCTGTTCAACAAGTAAATTTTGATATATTTTTGATTAGTTTATAGTTTTCATTTCATCTGAAAGGTAATTTTCTGCCAAATAAATGTTATAATTCTGTTGTTACTCCTCTTTTCTACTTTTTCCATATTTTCCCCAAGACAAATGTCGAAACGTCTTTGGCTTTGGGTACACCCCAACGTACCGTGAGCCCAACGTACCGTAGAGCTATAACTTCGTTCAAAATGGTCGAATCCGGGATGCCCTGATATGGTTCGATTCAGCTCGTCGAGATGCATCGAACCATACCTAAGCGGTCCGGATTCAACTATTTTGAACAAAGTTATCCGCGGTACGTTGGCATGCTCCCCTTTGGCTTCTCATTCCTCGCATTTTTCATTTGCCAAAAAATTTTTTTCCAATTATGGGGTTCGGATTTTAAGCCTGCCTATTTTAGTTCAGAACTCAAGAATTTTCCAATAATCCTCTAATATTTAATTTCTTTAGTTTTGTGTCGGGCTTCTTAATTCTCTACAAAACGGTGTTAGAATGTATAACTCTCAGCCAAATCCATTATTTGATCAAAGCTATCCACAATTGGCCAGTTTTTTGAGAAGTTTGTTTTCTTTAATTAAAAATTTTTAAAATTAATTTTAGGCTCAGGTATGCAACAATTCGCTTCAAATCCTCTTCCAAATTTTGTTACTTCACAACAAACTCCTCAACTGCAATCAGTTAATCCTGTTGTGAATCCATTGAATTCTCCTATTCAACAACCTCCAATAATTCAACCAAACGGTTACAAAAATGATTTTTAAAACTAATAGGGACTTGTACAAAATTTTGTTTTTGAATTTTGTAGGAGATTTAAGCTTTCTTTTTGAGTAATTTGAGTAAAAAATTATATTTAATTTTCTAGCTGGAGCCGGGACTGGAATTAATGGAAATGCGGGAGGAGGATTGCTCGACGGTATTTTAGGCGCTGTTGGTTCTGTTGCAAACACTGCTCTGAATAATAAATGATTGAATAAATATTGGGAACGATATATTTGTTATTCTTTTTTCTATTTATTTTTTAAAGTTTTATTAATTCCTTTTTTTTCTAATTATTCAAATTGATTAATTTATATATTTTTTAAATTTTTTTCTATTGTTTCAAATTTCTTTTTTTAACGGTTATCTAAAAGGTTAAACAATGCAACCAATTCCTGAGAGGTTGCAATGCGAAAATCCGCAAGAATGTGAGGAATGGTATAATTTATTTAGAGCGGTTAGTTTTTTTTTATTTTTTGATAGATTTGTCTTGGGTTATATGTAATAGGGTTATGTAACTTTAATTGTACTTTCACTGATCCTGGTATTATTTAGAGCGGTTAAGCCGTAAAAATATTTGAGATAGGATAGCTTATTGTTAGTTACAAATTAATGTGCATCTTTCTGTACACAAATATAGGCCCTTGGATGTAAGAGTAAATATGTTTATAAATATTGCAGCTGAAATAGACATGCGATTTATACAGTCCGCATTTCCTTAGACTTCACTGATTGACAAGATTTTGTGTTGGCCCTTTTCCTTTTTATGGCGATTTTTATTTAATTTCTAACTCCCCTCTATTTCTAATTCTTTTAAATTTAAGTTTGATATAGACAATGATGGTTATATACCCGCAGAAGAATTAAAATATTCTGTTCGTACAACAGCTCGTGCCTTTGGATTAGACAGAGAAGAAGCAGATTTTTTAATTGCTGGAATTGATTCAAATAAAGACAATTTTGTTGATTTTCCTGAATTTACTGTTTTGGTACTTTTAATTTAAAAAATTTTTTTTTTGAAATTTTTTAGATGGCTAGAGCCAAACATTTACGTTTAAAAAGTGTAATGCTCTACGCTGCCCGTTCTGTCCTTCCTAGAAGTCAACAAACTGAGAAAATACGTTATTTATTGGAATATAATTGTTGGCCGCCGCCTGTTTTTATGGCAAGTTTTTTTTTGAAAAAAAATTTTTTTTTGAAAAATTTTTTTAAAGGTTCTAATATCGTTACTTCAAGTTGGACTTTATTTGTATAATGAATTGGGTATTTTTTAAATAAATTTTTAAAAGGCTTGTAGAAAATAGGACTTTTTAATCATCCCATAGAATTAACTGAAAAGCCCTAATTTTATTTAAAATTCATTTTTTTGGATTTTTATTTTTTTCGTGACTTAATTTATGTGATTAAATTTGCGGATTAAATTTTGCGGACTCTTTATAAACTTTTAATTTTCTTTTTTAAATTTAAGAATATTGTTCTCGTAATAATCGTTTTATGCCTGCAAAGTGTGCCCCAGTCAAATCTCCATTAATTTTGAATCCTTGCAAAAAGGAAGAAGTGTGGCGCTATTTTAGTTATATGTTTGTGCATGTTGGGTAATTTAAATTTATTTTGAAATTAAAGTTTAAATTATTCCTTAATCGATATAATCGAACAAAAACAAAATCTAATAAGGGTATTTCGTGGTTGAGTGCGTTAGTGCTTGATTTTCGTTACGTGGTTGAAGGTTCGAATCTGTTCGACGCCAATTATTTTTTAAATATTCTTTCAATTTTTATTTTTACTTTTTTTCAGTTTTGTTCATCTTCTAAATAATTTGGCAGTTCAATTCTTGCTTGGAATACCTTTAGAACTTGTCCACAAATTTTGGCGCATAGCTTGTCTTTATTTTCTTGGAGTTATTTGTGGAGCTTTACTTTTCTTTGTTTTTGATCGTGATATTTACCTTGCTGGGGCTTCTGGAGGAGTGTAAATAAATTTTGATTTAATTTTTAAAATTTTTTAAAGTTATGCTTTGTTATCTGCACACATTGCTAATGTAATAGATTTATTTTCTTAATAATTTTTTAAAGTTTCTGTCCTAAAACCTTTAAATTAGCTTCATTCAAAAATCCATATAAATTCAAAAATAAATTTTTTCTATGATTTTTTGGTACCCAAAATAAATTTAAAACTCTTAATTGAATATATTTTTAGTCAAGAAATTTTTTGAAAAATTTATTTTCGACAGAAATATTTTTTTAAATTTAAGGGTATTTTTCTTTAAAATTATTTACTAAAAAACACTTTCAAAAATTTAATTTCTATTTTCTAAAAAATAAAAAAAAATTTTTAATTAGATAATAATTAATTGGAGTGAAATGGAATTTAATTGGATACGTGCAGCAATTTTTGGAATTTTTGTTTCATCAGATATTGGAGTTTCTGTTTATCAACGTTATTTTTCTTCAATGCCAAATAAAGTTTTTTTTATGAAATTTTTTTGTCAAAAATTTTTTTCTTTTAAAGGTTTCTTATATTTCCCATATTGGAGGTTTTGTTGCTGGCCTTTTCTTGGGAATTGTTTTGTTACGAAATTTGCGTAAACGAAATTGGGAGAATTATGCGTGGTGGACAGCATTAACTTTATTTTCTCTTTTTGTTTGTTCGAGTATTGTAAGTAGTTTTCTTTTTAAATTATTTTTTTGGAAGGACACTTCTCTATTTTTTCTAAATTCTCTTTTGGTCCTAGAGGACAAGTTTAGTTCTCGATTTTCGTTACATGGTTGACAAATTTTTCTTTTCATCCTCCACGTTAATTCTGTGATCTTTTTATGGCCATAATTTAGAATAATTTAAATTTATTTTTCGCCGTTGACTTTTTTTAATGATAAGATAAATACAAATTTTGTTTTTCTTTTAGAGAAAAATCTAAAGAAAAGATTACAAAAAAGATTTTCTTTTTTTCAAAAGATTGCTACGATCTTTCAAGAATTGACAAAAGAATTGCCTTATATTTGCACTGTTACTTGAAGTGAATTTTTGGATTTTTTAAAATAATAAAATTGATCTGAAAGGGATTTAAATAAATATAGTACACTCCATTTGCAATTAATAAAAACATTCTTTTGGATTTTAAGCATATCTTAATATTTCTTACTTAATTATTGTTAACTAAATTCTGCCTCCTTATTTATTCTTTTAACCCAGACTTGTGATTTTTTTAAAATTATTTATTGAAGGGAATAAATATTTTTTAATATTTTGTTACATATTTCTAATATTAACAGCCACAAATTGTGTCTTATTGTTAGTTGATCCAACCGACACTACCTAGTTCCCGATTTTATAGTCGGAAATCATTAGAGCGGGCACCCTTGCACATACACAATTTGTGACTCCTTAAAATCCTTTAAATCTAATCTTCAAAAAATTTTTTTTCGAAAATCAAGCTTGTTAAAAATCGTCAAAATTTATATAAAAAAATTAACACTTTCAACAAAAATTAAATTTAATGAGCATTTTGTAGTTTTTCGTCTTCCCTTTTCTCTTCTAAGAAAATAACATTTTCACTTAACTTCCCATTTTCTTTCCTTTTGTCTTCCCTTTTTGTTGGGCGTATTACTCTACAACATTTTTTAATTAAATTTATAAAGGGGCCAGAATCAAAATCGTCCAAATCTTGAGGTAATGATTTTCCAACTGTTTCTGGAGCCATCATCTAAATTTTTAAAAAGATTTTTTAAAAGATTTTAATTAAATTTGGATATAATTCCCATTGAGATAAATTAGATAAGGTCGGCAATTTCTCAGTTTTAAGTATACTTTTTTTAATTTGTTTGACCACTGGGTAAGGGGCACCGTCTAAGCAAAAGCCTCATTCTAAATTATCCCAAGCCTTCGGGGGCGGGAGTGCCGGGTTTCGTGGTTTGCCGGGGTAGATCTTCGGGGTTCAGATCAGTGTTTTTGCCTAAAAATTCGTCGGGGTTTTGGGGGACGGGATGCTACACTATTCTATGTAGATGATTCGATTTTAGATACAATTTCAATCTTATTTACAATTTAGCGAGCAATTTAGCGAGGAATGATTTAGCGAGGAATCTCTTCCCCTTTATGGAAGTTAAAATCGAAACGTGTCTAAAAGAAGGGCGGAATTATTAAAATTTAAAAAAATCACCGAAACCAAAACAGCCAAAATGGACATTAATGCAATTATTCCTTTTTGTTTATTTTCATCCCCCTTAAAATTTCAAAAAAAATTTTCAAAAATTTTTTTCTTCAATTTTTACAATTCTTTTCATATAAGGAGCAAGTACAGATCCAAGTTCACCAATTGTAGAAACAAATCCATAACTCATATTTCTTATTGTTGTAGGTGCCATTTCGCTAAGTAAAAGAGGGGCGGATGCCCAGGCTACAGTATTCATTACTTTGGCAAAGAGGGATAATAATAAATTTAATGTTGTTCCGCCTAGGAGAAGAATATTAAAAGTGAAAACAAATTATGATAAAATTAAAAACTCGAATACGAAAGTTGAAAACGAAACACGAAATTCGAATCCTATTTATTAAAAAATTCTAAAAATCCTGAAAACGAAACTCGAAATGCGAAAGTCCAAAAAATTCGAAATTCGAAACATTTCAACAACTCGAAACACGAAAGTCGAAACACGAAACTCGAAAGTCGAAAAAATTCGAAACTCGAAATCTCTCAAAAATAAACCCACGTGGAGTAAAAATAGTCAATCCTAAAGATATTGCTTGTCCAGTCAAAGAAATAACAGTAACTGTCCGTCTTCCACAAACCATTAATAAAATCATAGAAATAATTCCAGCGGGTATTTCAACTACCGCAGAAAGGAAAAATCCAACCATTTTATTTTTGTGTAAATCAACACTATATAAAGTTAATGCCCAATAAAGAAAATTGAGAACAATACTGGAAAAAATATTTTTTTTGAAAATTTTTTTTAAATTTCCCCCTCACAAAATATAGCAATTCAGCGTTAAATGAAAAGTAAAACTTGGCCTTCTAAAAAGATCAAAAAAGTTTCTTTTTGGGGGTGTTTTTAATGTTTCTTCTGGTTTTTCTTCTGTTTTCTCTTCTAAACAATCAACAACAACACCATTTTCAATTATTTGTTCTGTTCTGCATATATTTAAATTTATATGTGTTTTGTTCATTTTAGACGATTTTATTATATATTTACGTATTTCTTCTGTTTTTTTATTTGCTATTAACCAGTGAAGAGATTCTGAAAATGTTTGGGAAACAATGTTTTTCAAGTTTAAACTTGAGATTTAATGTTCGTGAACATTTAAATGTTTAGAAAACTTTTGTTTTAAAGTTTCCAATATCTTAAGTTTGTAAACTTAAGTTCTTATGAATGTTCGGGGTAAATTCTGTTTTTGTCTTGTTTTGAAGATGTTGAGAACTAATTCTGATTTCGTGTTTAATGTGTTTGCTTTAAATTTTCTTATTTAAACATCTTTGGATTAAATTCTGATTTCATTTAAAGAATGTTTGGATTAAATTCTGATTAAATTCTGATTTAAATTCTGAGTTTACAACCTGGAAAAACTTTATAGTAAACAATTGAAATTAGCCCAGGAAATGCAATAAATAAATATAAATAACGCCAATTTTTAATATAATAATGATGAAGAATTCCAACAGAAAAAATTCCAAAAACCTTTAAAAATTAAATAAAAAATTAGAATTTTTATATTTTTACCCAAATTAAAGCATTTAACAATGCTTGGATTGACCGAAAAGACCCCGCAACTGCTTCAACTGTTATTACAAAACCGACTACCATAACAGCCTAAAAATGTGTTTTTTGTATTTTTTTAAAGAAAATTCACCGCTCCACAAGCACCCGATAGAAAACGAAAAATTAAAAACCAAATAAATGTTGGGGAAAATGCACAAGCAATAGTTAGGAAAATTATAATCCATAGAGGTATTAAAAATGTTAGTCTTCTCCCATAACGATCTGCCTTAAAAATAGAGAGGATAAATTTAAAAAAAAATATTTTTAGACCAAATAAGTTGAGAAAGGGGCAGCCATAAAATTGCCTAAATATTAAAATTTGTTTTAAAATTATTTTTAAAAATAATTTTAACCAATCATAAAAACTCCGTTAGCATGATCTAGAATACCAGAAGACTCGCAAGTAATTCCAAACTATATTAAATTTTATTTAAAAATAAAACATGTATGTTTCGCTTACTTCGTCTGCTAATGATATGTATTTGTCTGTTGTGTTTGTCAAGTTAGTCTGAACAAGAAAGAAATATGTTCGTAGAAAGAAAATGTTTTGTATTTGTTTTACAAATAAAATTAAAACAATAGTAAAATAAAATCAGAATTAATTCTCAACATATAAAAACAAAAAACATTTAATCAGAATTAAATTCGAACATGTTTAAAAATAAAAAGAATGGAAACAAACATATCAAAAACAAAATCAGAATTAATTTTCAACATTCCAGAACAAAACAAAAACAGAATTTCACCGCAACATTAAATAAAATCAGAATTTTATTCAAACAAAAAAATTAATTTTTTGCACCATATAAAATCAGAATTAAATCAAAACATCTTAGAACAAAATCAGAATAAATTAAAAACATCTTAGAAACAAAATCAGAATAAATCAAAACACTATAAAAACAAATCAGAATTAAATTACAACAAAATAAATTAAATAATATTTAATTCATAAATTAATTACAGTTAAATTAGTAGAGCATTTATCTTCGGGAAACTCACCAATTAATGAAATTCTGAAATTTAAAAATACAAATAAATTATTTAAATTAAAAAAAAAACATTGTTGTGAGGTAAGAAAAAATATAAAAATTAATTGAAACCATTGCATAAACAAAAAGCTACAAAAAAACAAAAAATGAAAAGAGATGGAGTAATTTTAATTGACCTGATAACGGCCATATTTTCCAAACTGATTAAGTAATTTATCTGCATCTAAATTTTGTAATAATAATTTAGCAGAATTTCCAATTACAAAATCGTGAACCATTTTTAAGAGGATAAATTATTAGGGTATTTTGGGGGTGTGAAGTAACGTTGATTAAAAATTTGTAATTTAGTCAAAAAATTACCTAAAAATGTGAAATTTTGTATAGAGGCAGTTAATAGTGTTATCTAACTTGTCTAAAAATTTCAGAATTTTTGGTTCAAAATTAACAGAGTTATGGCCAAAAATGTTAGAATTTCGGGTAAAAATTCTGAAATTCTGACTGAAAATTCTGATAAAATTCTGAAATTTAAAAAGAAAAAATTCTGAACTTTACAGAATAGTTAGAAAACATAAATTAAATAAATCAGAATAAAATTTCAGAATTTTAGGTGTTATGTTCAAATTATAGGCAATCAATAAAGCTTTGTTTAAGCTAAATAAAATTAATTTTTGGAAAAATAAAATTGATAAAATTTAAAAAGAAGGGAAATAATTTAGAGTTGTAAAATTCTAAGAAAAAAATTTTCGATAAAGGTATTTTTTGCTAAAAAAATTTTTTTGATAAAGAGAATTAAGGATTAAAGAACATGAGAAAGAGAGGAAAGAGGGAAGAGGAGAGAAAGAGTAAAATTAAAAGAAAAATCAGAAAATTTTTATTTAGTAGAGATAAGGAAATTTTTGGAAGACGAAAATAAATATTTATGTATAGACTTTATTTATTTAATCATCAAAAAAGAGCATTATTTTTTAATCACAACACTTTTTTCTATCACTAAAGTAAGCTTATTAAAGAATTTAGACCGACAGGTTTTGGACAATTTTAAGAGTCACAAGACACAAAATGTTAAGAATTAATCAAAGGAAAGGTGTAAAGAGTTTGGGTTAAGTTTAAGAGATTTTGTTTCTTTTCAAAAATTTTTTTTCCAAGATCAAAATAAAATTAAAAGAAAATCCTCTTCCTCCTGCTTATTTACCTACCTTATCTTTCGTTTTCTTAAAAATAACCACTTCACTAGATCTATTTACTACAGGGTTTCGATATCTGCGGATTTTTCCTCATTTTGTGGTTTTTTGAAGAGGCGATGAGGATTATTTTTTAAAATGCGGATTTGCGGATTTTTGTGGTCTTTTGAAGAATATGAGGATTTTTTATATTATCTTGTGGTTTTTTGCAAAAATGTCATTATTTTTCCGCTAAGACCTTCTAAAATCCTCAAAAATATCGCCTGCGGCGCTGAAAATGGAAGAAATCTGGCTTCTTGGCCTTCCAAAATTCTCAAAATTTTTGCCTGCGGCGCAAAATCGAAGGAATCTGTGTCCTTGATCTTCCAAAATCCTCAAAATTTTTTGCCTGACCTGAAAATGAAAGATTTTTGGCTTAAGGATCTTCCAAAATTAAAAAAATTTTCGCCTGCGGCGCTGAAAATGGAAAAAATAAAAATTTGCGACATCTTCCGCGACAAAAATGCAAGTGTAATTTTTCAGATAGTTGTTGGATTTTCATATGATGATCATTAGTAATTAAAAATTGCTTAATTCAATTGTATAAGACGAAAAATACTATGCATAAAGTTATTTTAATTCAATTTTTGTGTTTGATAATTTTTTGCGGATTTTTGATATAAAATGCGGATTTTTTCGAGCAAATTTGCGGATTTTTAAAAATTCGAGATCGAAACCCTGATTTACTACATTTCAATTAAAATTCACCTACTTCTTTTATCTTTCCCTCCCATACTACAAAAGAGATAAAAAATAGAGTGGACTAAATGCAAATTTGGCGAAACGAAAATTTTGTAAAATTGGTTAAATGTCTTGAATTATTTAATTTGGTGAAATGAAATATTTGTGCCCTTTAAATTACAAAATGTCAACTCCCCATAATTTCGAAATCCTCTTTGCTTCTCTTGCAAAACGTGGTTTTTGTAGTAAAGCTTTTTCTATTTGCAAATAATTTCTAACAAATTATATATCATTTGAAAGCTTTAAATGTGCTTTTTCTTTTTGCTAAAGAGATGGAATAGATTTGATCATTTTATAAAAAGTTAGAGTCTGTTAAATGCAGGTAATCGTGATTTTTCGTCGTTTTTGGCCGTAACTTTTTGTGGAGTGATCGGATCTGAACAGTCTCTTTTGCTAAAATAATCTACTCAATTAGAGCTTTCGATTGGTACAAAAATTATTTAAAATAGTTAAATATACAAAAAGTTATGAGTCAATAAATCCTTCAAAATTCATCATTCTAGACTCATAATTCCCTCTTTTTTTTGTTTGTTACTTTGTAATCTTTTTTTAGTTGTTTAACGAATATTTTTAGTGTAAAAATAAATAAATCACGTGGTGGCTTTCGTCAGTTTCAATGATTAATTTACAACGTAATTAATTTTTAAAAAGTAAACAACTAATGAATTTATTATTTTAATTAATTATTTTCTACAATTTTTAAAAATTTTTTTTAACAATTTTAACAACGAATTATTAACACAAAAATGGTTTTAAAATTAAAAACGAATTCAATTAAAGATGATTATGTAATTAATCCAACGGTAATTTAAAATTATTTTCCGTTAAAATTTTATTTTTTAAAGGTTCTAGGCGTTGGAATTAACGGAAAAGTAGTCGAATGTGAAAACAAAGCGGGCAAAAGATTTGCTTTAAAAATCCTTCGAGATTTGCCAAAAGCGAAGAACGAAGCTGAATATCACTTTCAATCTTGTTCTCATCCAAATATTGTTAAAATATATGATGTTTATGAAAATTGTTATAATGGAGTTAAGTGTCTTTTGCTTGTTATGGAAAGAATGGACGGAGGGGAATTGTTTACTAGAATTCAGGTTTTTTTATAAAATTATTTAACAGGTTGGAGGGAGGGGTTTGTAGTATTTTTGTACCTGACATGTTTATTTTATGTATATCAAATTAATTTAACAAAATTATTTCAAATGGTCGGTGGTGTAGTGGTTCAATTGTTTGATTGACCTCTTTAATAGCCAGGTTCGAACCTGCTCTGGGCCAATTAATTTTTATTTTGTCTGAAATTGATATAAATTCATTTTTGTATCCATAATATTTTAAGTTTTTTATTTCCCAATTTTTAGGAGAGGGCAGCGTCAGCATTTACCGAAAGAGAAGCAGCCAATATAATTTATTCAATATGTTCAGCTGTAGGGCATTTACACCGTTTGGGAATTGCACATCGAGATATTAAACCAGAAAATCTTTTGTATACAGAACCTGGCTCTGATGGGGTTTTGAAATTGACAGATTTTGGTTTTGCTAAACGATCTGAAGATGGAGAGAAATCTTTGGTTTTTTTAATTTTTTGGGGGATTTATTAATAAAGAGAGGGAATCCCTCTCCCCTCCCTTTTAATTTACCAAAATTACAACAAAATTTAGCGAGGGGATATTTTTGAGATATTTTCCTTACTCGGTTCTTAACTTAATTCTGGGCTACAAATCAACCTAACCAAACCTTTAATTTTTTAAATTTTATTAACTTTTTAGGTAACTCCACTCTACACACCCTATTATAGTTCTCCCGAAGTTTTTAGTTCTCAAAAGTATGATAAAGCTTGTGATATTTGGGCAATTGGTGTTATTTCTTATATTTTGTAAGAATTATTTTTATTTTTTGATTTAAGAAATATTCTTTTTAAGGTTGTGTGGTTATCCGCCTTTCTTTTCTACACATGGGTATGTTTATTTTTTGTAGTGCAATGAAGGTTTATGAGTCCGATAAAATTTTAAGAATCACACCAAAAATAAAATATTTTTGAAAGCTCTTGTTATTATTATGGAAACGGGGAAATGTAATTTGCAAAATCCTTTAATTGTTCCATGAGGTTTCCTTTAATAGTACCCGTCCTAACATGGAAAAACTACTAATTGTAAACTGTACCAGAGCCGTATTTTGACCTTTCCGGTGGTTGTGGATGTATAAACATCTTCTAGGCCTTCTGACCGAACCCTAATTTCTATCAGGACAGAACTCTTGTGGAGAGGAAAGTCAAGAATTTAAAAAAAAACACAAGGAAAAAACGGCTCTGGTACATCCAGACTAGCATTAAAATCTCTTAAATGCTTTTTAAATTCTAAGAAACCTCTCAATTATATGAAAAACAATTTATACAATATATTACACTATGTACAATAGTTACTAGAATATTTATAGATAAGGAACAAAGTTTATGTTAAGACACCAGGGAAAAGCACAATTTAGGGATGGAAAAAATATATATTTTAGTTATTATATTACACATATATATCACAACAATTCTATATATCCATATTACTTCGCTTTTGGCGGCGGTGTGTAAGCCCGAAATGCCAAGAAATCGTCACTCTTTTCATTCAGTTTAGCTCCAAGTTGCTGCGGCAAAAGAAGGACATCACCCTTTTCAATCTTTTCCTCATTGCCTTCATTTGGGAGTATTGTGGCAGAACCGTTGACGACTATCAAGATTGAAGCAGCGGCGATTGGCTGGACCACAGAGACTTCCTTCTGAAAATTAGAAGACTTTCAAAGTCGTACAAAAAAACAGCTTACACTCAGTTTGTGGACTGCAAATTCTTGCACTTCAGGCGAATATTCATCTACACCGTCAGCCAGATGTTGCGGCTCAAAAATGGGCGGCCCTCCCATTCGATAGGTGAGGTTCTCACAGAACAAGGGGATGTTTTTGAATTTTGGCGTGAGTCCAGCGCGAACAGTGTTGTCGGATTGAGCCATACATTCAATGCAATCTGTTTAAAAGTAAAAAATATTTTGATTTTTAAAAAGTTAATCACTCACCTCCAGACAGATATGAATGTGGTTCATTAGGTCCGAGAAATGTCGCTTGTCCAGGTTTGAGCTTGACGTAGTTAAGGAAGAGCGGAGCCAGAATCCCAATGTCTTCAGGAAAATGTTCGCTGAGACCCATAATCAATTCGTCTGTCTGTGATCGTTGTTCCTCTGAAAAGGAGCAAATTTTATAAATGGAAAGATAAATGTTCAAGTACTTACTCAGAAAGATGTCCGAAAGAAGTTTTGTGAGCAAAGTCCCAATCTCTTCTGGCGGAATAGTCCAAATCTGTGTGAAGATATTCTTTAATGCGCCCTTCTTCTCCTCGTCTGTAGTCGCGCCGAAACTTGCCAACACCTTTTCACCTATCAATTCAACAAGTGCCTCATGTGAGCGAAGATTGCTGAGAATTGTGTCCGGCATCTGGAATCCGCAGAGAATCTCGAAATTCGTTAGAGCGATCGTTAGCTCAGGTTTGTGGTTGGCATCTGGATAATTGGTTTGATCAGCGGCATGGAGTTCTCTGGCTTGTTCCTGTCAAAATATAACAAAGATTTTTTTAATCAAACTACAAGGATCCATACCCGCGTTGGATGCAACTGCAAAGACAAGCATTTGCCAACAGAGAGCACTTTGAGCAGGAACTGAAGACCGACGCCATCCCTTTCGTGTTGCCCGAGAACATCCGGATGATCCCTGAAGTAGTCTGCCAACGGAATCCGTGCTTCACCTTCTTTCACTTGCGATGGTCCTCTTGCATGCGTGCCCATCCACAACTGAAATTTAAAAACATGAGACATCTCTCGTCTTCCTTCACAAACAAACCTCCGCATAAAACTCGTCCTCCTCAATTGTATCCTTTCGCAGCTGGGCCACAGTGCTTTCAGCGCCTTTTCTGCCCCATTGGTAGTGGAGAGCCTTGCAATCGAGCCTCTTCATGACGCTGTTACCTTGCGAATTGAATAGCGAACGATGGCTAAAAATAAAAAATTTTAGAGGGTACTAGACGCCGCTGAAAAAACACACTCGAATAACAGGAGAAGCGTTGACCAATGAGAACAAGAGCGGCTGGAAAGTAGCAGTAGACGAGTTGATTTGAAGATAATGTAAGCAAAAAGAATGAGCTTTTATAGTATCAGCGGGTACACCTCAGTTTGGCGCGCACGTTTCGGCGCCAGTTTTTCGGCGCAGCATGTCTTTTGGCATTTAGGGAAAAAAATTAAATTATACAAATGTTAGCTCATTCGAAAGAGCTCCTCGAGCTTAGTCGAATGACATGTATGTCCTGTATTCAGCGTTTGTCCCAAATTCTGAGTGAGTCGAGCTTTATGCTTGGAATATATTCCACACACAAGCCTAACAGTGTGTACTTTTTTGGAGGATAAGAAAGGAAAATGAGAGCGGATAAACGTATGGTTTCCCTTGTGTCTCAACATAAACTTTGTCTATGAAAATCAAGGATTAGTCCGGGAAGTCCGGGAATGCTTATACACTGCGACGCAAAATTATACGTCCACCCCATTTTTTCGGAATTTTTCCATTTGTATTGATCAGAATTTTCTGAAAATTTAAATACACATCATTTACTGAATAACTAACAAGATGTCTAAGGATTTTTGGCAAAATTTTTATTTTAAAAATTTTTAGACCAAAATTTGTGTTTTTGGCCTACGCAAAATTATACGTCCACTTTCAAAAAAAAGTTATTTCCAACAATGGGAAAAATTTACAAAAATTACAGTGAACTTATATATTGATATTATAAAAAATAAAAAAGAAAGTAGGTCCATATCGTTACTCTAAGCCGAGATCCTGAGATTTCGAAAATCAACGTAAAACAGGGTTTTTCAACTTTGAAAAATATTTTCGCCCCCTTATGAATTATTACAAATTTTGATATTGGACTTATTCGAAAGCCCTTTAAATTTGCTACAAGATAGCATTAATCTTATTTTCCAGAAAAAATTTTATAGTGAGATGTAGACCGTTAATCTTTGGAAGCAACCTTAAGGGGAATTTTATGGGTCATTTAGGAGTTTTTCCTTTATCAAAAGTTTAAATGCGTGTTCCTCTAAATGAAATTTTTTCTGGAAAATAAGATTAATGCTATCTTGTAGCAAATTTAACGGGCTTTCGAATAAGTCCAAAATCAAAATTTGTAATAATTCATAAGGGGGCGAAAATATTTTTCAAAGTTGAAAAACCCTGTTTTACGTTGATTTTCGAAATCTCAGGATCTCGGCTTAGAGTAACGATATGGACCTACTTTCTTTTTTATTTTTTATAATATCAATATATAAGTTCACTGTAATTTTTGTAAATTTTTCCCATTGTTGGAAATAACTTTTTTTTGAAAGTGGACGTATAATTTTGCGTAGGCCAAAAACACAAATTTTGGTCTAAAAATTTTTAAAATAAAAATTTTGCCAAAAATCCTTAGACATCTTGTTAGTTATTCAGTAAATGATGTGTATTTAAATTTTCAGAAAATTCTGATCAATACAAATGGAAAAATTCCGAAAAAATGGGGTGGACGTATAATTTTGCGTCGCAGTGTACATCCTATCATCTCCTTTTTAAATTTTTTAAAATTTAGCTTGCCAATCTCCCCAGGAATGAAAAGTCGAATTCGCAAAGGTGAATATAACTTTGCCGGAACAGAATGGACTTTGGTTTCTGAAGCAGGTTTTTTTTTCTTCTTAAAATTTTCCTCAAAAAATTTTAATTTTTAAAGCAAAAGATTTAATTCGTCGTTGTTTAATTACCGACCCAGAACAACGAGTAACTATCGAGGAACTTTTAAATCATAAATGGCTATTACATTATACAAAAAGTCCGACAACACCTTTAACTACAACAGAAGTAATGAGTGATCGTGGACAGGCTGTAAATTGGCCTGATTTTTCGGTTTGGAATTCTTTTGAAAATTTTTTTTTGATTTTTGAGGGGAGGGGGGTATAAAATTTTCAAAAAAAATTTTTTTATAGGAAGAAATGGAACAAGCATTAGCTTCAATGAGAGTTGATGATGTTCATATAAAACATATTAACGATGCACAAAATTCTTTATTGGATAAACGCAGAAGAAAAGCAGCTGCTGGGGGAGGTGTTGAACAAATTGCGGAAGCTGATTAATTTTGGAAGGCAATAATTTTTAAAGAAATTTTTAGGTTGTGTTTCTCTTTGTTTAATTTTTGCCCAATTTTTACATACTTTTTTGCTGCCATTTTGTGAGTGATTTTTTAAAAATATTTTGTGAAATTTTGTGTTTGTCTATTTTTCGGTTATTTTTCTGCTAACTAAAAATTGTTTTTAATATTTGCAAGTAATTTAATTTTTAAGGAATTTTGAAGACATTTTAAATCCACTAACTAACTAGGTAACCATGCGAACTATGGCCACGATGGTATAATTGTTGTCTAAAAATTTTTGGTCATAGCTCGGGTGGTTTCCTTGTCCGGGGGGCAAAAAACATTTTTTTAATTGTGGGAGAAACTGTTCTTGATTTAAAAGGATTTAAAAATCAATTACTTGCGCCAAACGTAAAAGCCCTTTTTTCCAAAATTCTAATCTCTTTTAAATTCCAGTATTTTTCTAAAAAAGATTTTCTACGAGTCTTTTAACTCTTCAAAAACATTTTTTTTAATTTTTATTTTTAAAATAAATAAATTTTTATTAAACCAAAACTATTTATTTATCCTTTTCTTCACTTCCTCCAACTTCTTTTTTCTCTTTAATTTGAACTTTTTCTACAACAATAATTCCTGTATGTAAAGCAAATAAAATTGTTGTAGTTAAACAAGCAATTCCAAAAAATAAAGTTCTGTGAAGTGTTGAATCTGGACGTGATTGTTCTTTCTCATTTCTTCTCATCTCTTTTTCAACACGTCCTTCTTCCATTAAACGTCGAGCATTTTCTTTTCGTTTTTGCCAAATTGGTTTAGATATTTTCTGTAAAAACAAAAAAAATTATTTTATTGGATGGGAAAAAGGAAGAAAATTTTTAAAAGGATGAGAGTTTAGGGTTGTTGGCGTCCGGTTATTAACCTGTGCCCCATCGGTTTTCTTTTATGGTCAGTTTTAGGCCCTCGTTTTTGGTTTGGTTATAAAAAATGAATATTTTCCAAAATTCTGTCATAATAATGCTACGTTTACATAAAAATTGTTTGCGTCGTACAACAGTAAAAATAAGGAGAAAGGAAGAGGGAAAAGCTTTTTTTTGCCGCAAAACGCAAAGCGACTTTTATGTAATCATAAAAAAATAAATTAATATTAAAAATTAACCTGTTCTCTCAATATTTTGTCATTTAACGGCATATACTGAAAAAAATTTTAAATTGAAAAAAAAATAAATTCTTTTAAAAAAACTTACAATACTTAAAATTGACTCAACAAATCGAACTAAATTTGGGGTAGCAGATAAATGAAGTTGTAATCTATCATTAGGAAGAGGTGTTTTCAATAAAGGAGCCAAATATCCAAAAATAAGAGCATCTAATGAACAAGGCCTTTAAATTATTTAAAAAATAAAGAATTCAAGAAAATTTATTTACTTGTCTCCACAAAAATATTTGTTATCAGAAAGTTTTGCAGAGAGCATATTAAGGGCCTAAAATGTTTTTTAAATAATAAAGACATTTTTGTTTTACTTTAATCATCTACTCATGTTGGGCCTCTTCCAAGGAAACTTTCTTTTCAAGGAGAGAATCATGTTAAGAATTTAGCCGAAGGAATTTTCTAGATTTTTCAACTACGAGAGAAGTCTTACTGTCTTTTTATTAGGCATTAGAAATTTTCTGATAAAATTTATTGCCTTGAAGAGTGAAGGGAATATTATAATCACTGAATTTTAGCTTTCAAAAAATAATATTTTTAAAGCTAAATTTTTTCGGACCCATGAAATTTTTAAAGGTTCTGACTCAATTTTTAACTAAAAAACAAAAAAAACCTGGACAGCATCCATAGTAATTTGTTGTTGACTTTTTCGTGTACTTTTCACAGCAGCATTTGCTTTCGATCTTTTCTTTTCCATATAATATAAACCATAAGGGAAAATTAAATGTTGAGTATAACAATTGTGAATAATTGAATTATAATTGTATTTGTCTAACCAAAAAGTTTGGAGCTTTAAAAAAATTTTTTCTGATAATTTTTTGAAAAAAACCAAAGCAGGACGAATTTTTTGTTTTAAAAGAGCACTGTAAGCATCAAAATCACAAAGTTGACTAGGAACGAGATCATTATCCAAAACAATGTCCTAAATTTATTTTTAGTGAAATATGTAGAAAAAAAGATAAGGAAAAATAGAAAACGAGTGGGTCTTTGACGGCAAATGAATCTTTTCTGAGAGCCAGATCCAGTCATCTTTTGAACTTATTGAGGGGGTTATCTGGGCATGGTTTTTTCGGATTACAGGTCCTAGGCCAGCCGAGTCAGAAAAATAGTCATGGCCCAGATTTATTAAAAATTTTAATCTCTATAAAAATAAAACCTGTTTGCTGTTACGTAAAAAGTCAACAAAACGAGAAATGTCACAAATAGTTTCCTGTTCTTCAGTAATTAAATAAGGCAGATCGCCTAAATTTTGTTAAAATTTGGAATAATAAATTAGAATTTGCCTGTTGGTGACTTCCAAGGCCGAGTTGAATATTCAAACAAAATTGGGGCAGCACAAATTTTGCTGGCTGCCTAAATTAATTTTTAATTTTCAAAATAAAATAAAAAATACCATAAATTGTAAAGATTCTATATCCATTGAAGGCAAGCCAAACTCTGCTGGCCAAATATAAAGAAACATTTTCTTAAAATTAATTTTAAAATTTTAACAATTTTTAATAAAGGATTTAGTGATTTTTAAATATTTGTGGAATTGTACGTTTCGAATTGTTGGTAAAATAAAATTTTACATTTTGACATTCTGAAGAAAATAGAATGCAAAGAAGAGATTGAAAATAAATGAGAGAGAATGATAAAAATTATGCAGAGATAAATACTATTTAGAAAAATCGGTCGATTCAAAGTCGTCGTTTTAGAGAGCAACGTTTCTTTTTATTTCCGACCATTCGATTTATTGTTATATTATTCGAAAGTTTTCGGCATTTTCGACATTTTATTTTTAATCGGACGCATGGTTGATGAACAAAAAGTTATTTTGCCGAAAACTTCTTTTAATCGCCAAACAATGAATCGTCCCATTTCCAAAAAATTTGGCATTTTGTTAATTACCGCTAAATTTTCTGATTAAAAATGGCTTTAAATTTTTTAAATAATTTTATTAAATTTTAATTTTTTTTTAAAGATAAATTTATTTTTCTATTATTATTTCTCTGTTAAAAATTTCCTTTTTTGTTATTAATGCAAACTGCGCGCATTGAATTAGACACAACTTTTGGTTCAGGAAAGTTAAGCATTCCTTCACAGCGTGGTGCTATTCCGAAACATTCAACGCCTAAAAGTTTACCCTTTTTTTGTTCATTGATTTACACTTTTATTTATTTTAAGGACCTGATTGGAACGACGAACGTATTCCTTTAGAACAATCAACTATATGTGACGAATTTGAAAGAATGTCTTCTATTTCAAATAATGAACCGAATGTAAATATTTTTTATAAAAAGGGGAAGGGGATTTAATTGATTTTCTTTGTCCACACTTTTTTTTTTTATAAATTAGGACGGAATTTTTACAGAAAAATTGTCAAAATTTTGTTTTTCGATTTTCTATTCATACTCGATTTTTAATTTTATGGCTTTTCTTGTCTCCCAGATTTATTGATCTCTCTTAGTTCAAGGTCAAGAACTTTGCCGGCAATTGAGTTTTCAGTCTTCTCCTACTTTAATCTTTAGCTAGAGATCGATTTTTCCCTCTTAACTATCTTTACTCTAAACTAGGGTGCCGGCCCGGTTCTGTTCGATAGGTCGAACCGGGCATAGAATTTTGGTCCGAAAAAGACTCGACCGGTCCGGCCCGAACAAATGACACGAACGTCGGCCCGGTTCTAAAACGGCAACCCTATTTACTAAACCCTTTTTGCCCTCTCCTCTCAATACGGATTTAATAAAGAATTATTTTTCAGAAACCTGACCTGTCCGAAAAGGAATTTCTTTCAAATTATCTTCAAATAGAATTTGACAAAAAACGATGTTCAGTGAAGGTTAAATTTTTTTAAATTTTCAAATATATGTATTTCTTCTTCTTTTAGGAAGGACGGAACGACGTTTTAAACAATGTAAATATTCCAGACCAAATACCCCGTGACTTTTCAAATAATGGATTAAATAGGAAAATACCTAAATTTGACACGCCAATATTTAGACCGATATCTTCTGCTTCTGACACAGATTCTTTGTTTTTTTTAATTTTTTATTTAAAAATTTGTTTTATTTTTAAGGTCTTCATTAACTCGTAAAAGTCTTCTTGGAATTGAGCAAGACAAAACAATTTTAAATTTTGGTTATGTTTCTATTGGGGAATCGTTGACTTTGAAACAAAAAATTTGGAATTGTGACAATGAACAAATGAAAATAAAATGCAGTATTTTGGTGGATGAAAGTTTGGAAGATGGAATTTTTAAGGTTTTTTGAACTTAATTTTTTATTGTTTTGTCAGATTTAAGAGAAGTTTATCTTAAGGATGTCAAGGCGGGGATTTTTATTCGAATTTTTTTCAAGATCAAGTCCTCTTTGAGTACTAGGCTTTCTTTTGCCTTCCGCAGAATTTCGCCTTTTTTACCCTTCCACTTCCAAGTCCTCTTCCGCTTTTTTCTGCTTTCTTCCGTTTTCCGCTTTTTAAAATGTAGCAGAGCCCATCCTTTGCATAGGCCTCAAAAAATTTTCCCAAAAATTAGTTTGGTATCTTAAAAATATTCGAATGTCTTTTCCTAACTTTTTGTCCATTAAATTTTTGGATTTTTCATTCTTCAGATTCTCATATTTTTTCCGTTTAAAAATTTATTTTCTTTCAATTTTAGATAACCAACGTTTCTACACCAATAATACGACCTGGAGAATGGTGTGAAATTTGTGTTCAATATACACCAACAAAAGTCGAAAGAAATGCAGGAAGGCTTGTTATTGAAAGAGAAAGTGGAATTCGATTTCGTTATTCGGTTTTTTTAAATTTTTTTTCCAAAATTT